CCCCCCAACGGCGAAACAAAGTCTGGGGCTCAGTGAAGAAAGTTTCTCATTCTGCAGGTAAAATAAATATCTAATTACCTAGTACCCGGGTTGGTACAACCTTTTAAGGCCTTTGTGGTGCATCTCTGGCTAAATTCGGCAATGGATAAGTTCCAGCGGAGGCATATTCTACCAACTTCTAGTGAAATAAAATGGAGATGAGGACAGGAAGTAGGGTTTTGGGAATGTGTTGGGATAATCCATGGGAGCCCCGCCCAAGCAACTGGTGGGGAGACTTGCTAAGAAGGATCTTGTGATTGGATGCATAAAAATGCCCACGGCCTACCGAGGTAGGTAGCACCGTCATGTATTATAAACCAGGCAACCTAACATTGAAATCAACTTCCGTTCTGGCAACTGGCATCATATTTCTACACAATATAGATCTATCCAGTTGACAACTTTGTACTAACTTGCATTATCATGCAAAGATGTCACCCGACCTCTCTCGTTTGCTTAACATACTTCTTCTGTATTTCCAACAAGACACGTGGAGATGCACTTGCCATGACGGGAGGATATAAATGCTCCTAGTTGGCGGCTTCTTGGTGTTAACTTCAACTCCTAGTTTGCCCACTGGTATAGTCGTAAGATGTCCTACGTGGTCATGTTTTGCCGGATCAACCTTGGAAATTACCTTGCGATTTTCATCGTGTTACGCTTCGTCGCCGCCAAGAATGCTGTCTTTTCCCGCCTTACATGAACACGGCCGATGAGAAGCTGCCTGACGCTACTCGTTCCGACTCACTCTTCCAAGGTTGGATCAAGGAGTTTGGTTCCCCTTCTACGCCCCCCCCCAACTCTCAGGGAACTTTGGCGACAGTGCATGCAGTTATGGCCGGCTACAATTAGATGTTGGCAGTTCGGTTGAAGTTGAGTGTTTCTACGTCGAGGCGGCAAATAAATCGTGGGGCCTACTCAAATTAATCTGGAATGTAGTCGATCTGCTAATATTCGTATCGATGGGTGCCCTGACCGAAACATATTTCTACCCTTCAAGATCTACGGGTTAGTTAACTAATTTAATAACTAGGTAATGATCCAATTCATTCAAACATAATATTTCTGATTTTTAATATCAGGTATACCTCCGATGAGTATTAGTGGTTACCTCACATTGATAATTCATACTAATAAGACCCTACGTGGGGTAGAGTGACATAAATAGTTTAGATCAACTGGAATGGTTGGGAAGGCATTGAAATACGCAGTGAAACCTCTGATATGATCACGTGCTTCATTATACACCGTAATGAATAGGCTTTTGGTAAAAGGCTGTTCATGCCCTTGCTCGAGGTGCGTGGTCCAGAACCTGATAAGTGTGTCCGTTGAGACCAGAAATAGCTGTTATGCCACCTTCAACGGTATCCTAAGGCAACTGAATTCGACTAGAAAATTCTGCTACATATGCTCTGTAACGGATGAACCGTATACACCTGGAATGAATAGGATCTCGGGTTTTTGGAGTAATAATACAAGTGGAAACTCAGACATGTCAATCAGTGTAACTAGGGGTAATTACGTCGATTGACATGAGTGGTCTTCTTGGTAAATACCTGGTTTATTATTAAGAACATCCTTACTTGGACACGTGGTCCTGAGCCCAAGAATCCCTTACATGCTCATAGCTTGCTTGTTATAATACCTACAACATAGTGGTAAGTGTAAACGCCATATCAAATATACTTCTTGGTCAAGTGTCTTGAATCTACGGAGTAGAGAGGAGGGGAAACAACAACCCGCTGGGCTTTGGGTTTCTCCGAACTGGGTGAAGGTGGATTCCGGACCCATAACACGGGGATTGGCTTCTGGCGTGATTCGTTACCCAGTGGCCAATAATGCACACTGGAAATTTGTTATGCCATCAAAGTATCATGATAAGGCAGGAAATAATTTAGCCGGAAAGGATTCCAATCTAAGTTTATGGCTTGAATGATGGATGGGTAGGGTGAAAACTGGTGGCCTATGTGTACAACCCCCCTGAGATTGGGGCCAGTACAGGTTAATAATGGAAGGGTCCGATTCTCTTCATATGCTCCTTTGGAAAGGGAGAGGGAGAAAATGGAAAAGGAAAAAGGAGCATCAAAAGGGGTAGTTGATTATGGGCGTTCCTACGAGACAGCGAGGCAAGGAGCGTAAGCACACAAAGCAAACACGGTACATCACGTCTCCTATCCTATACTTTGTCCCAATAGGAATGATTAGGTGCTATTATAAACAAGGCTCATGCCGCCGCCATCCAATTAGAATGGCAGATTTCAGGTCCAGGAAACTCATCCGGACCAAGCGCGAACATATGCATGGTGTTGCAGTAAACCCATTTATCAGGTAGCTATCCTGGTAAGCTGGAAAAGGGACTGTCTATATGAATGGCACATCAATATAACTCTTTCATGAAGAACCAACTCTTAAAGATCTCCTTTACCTCATATTCAGAGACAAAACAGCTAGGATCGATACCCACATGAATGACGCCTTTCGTCGCGGAGAACAACGATCTAGAGTGCAAGGTGAAAGACGGGATATAAATAGGGCTAGCTTGGTACATTATATTGATATGAACCACTCCGTACTCTGTACTTCGTGGTTACTGAATCAGCTCGTGTCCGACCATAAAAAATGAATTCCACACCATAAGACGTAAGAATTCGATTATCTAATTAATAGAATCGGGAGAAATAGGAGTGGGTTTCATCAATTCGCGCCATAAAGGCATGTGATGAATTAGATCAGCCCCCAGAATATGAAGGGTTGTGATACATGCACCACAAAAAGTTTGGAAAGCACCATGATTATGTCAGGAAACTATTACTAATTGCCCAGCCTCGGGACAAATAACTTAGGATAAGAGTGATGTGACTAACCTACGAGCCTTGTAATTTGACAAAGTCCGTTCCCAAAACATGAAGCTATTCCCAACTCCATTGTACTCTCACAAATCCAGTAATATAGTACCCCTAATAAATTCAATATAATTTTAAAAATAACATAGTAAAAAGGGCCTACTTCAGAATCGTACCTTAGCTTATTTCTAGAGATTCTAGGCCCTTTATCGTAAATAAATTTATCACTGAATATCTACTAATTTACATAGCGTTTTTAATTGATCAAGATTTCTATGGTTAGAGGGTATCGCTAGCGTATTTCATAAATGATTATATATTCCGGAGGTAGTGTGGTAAATATTTTAGTATAGGACTTGGAAATAGCTTCATGTTTCAGGAACGGCCAAGTCAAATTATCAGGCTCGAAAACAAGTCACATGACTTGAATTTTATTTCTCCCGATGCTTGGCGATTTGATAATGGGATGCTTACGTACTATGGTGTGGAATTCAATCTTTAAGGTGTTTGTATCTGTTGAGATCACATGACCCGGTTGGTCATGTGAGTGGTTAGTTAGTCCTCGAAGGGTCGGAGCTTCTGTCCTTCCCCGTCCTTTTTCTCCACCAATGATATTGACCTATTATTGCTTCCTTCTCCCTTTGTCTAGAGTATCTCAACCCTGAATAACTAGCCCTGGAGTGATATATCGCCCAATGATAGAGCCATTGTCGGTATGTCGTGAAACTCAGGTTATGCCTAGCTGTAATCATTATAATATAATCAAAAAGCGACAAGGGGTGAGCAGTTACATAGAAAAGGAACGCCATGGAACGCCCTGGGGTGTGGCATGAAACGCGATGCATGTGTCCATATCGGATCGTATACGAATTCTGATCCTTAGCCTAGAATTATAGATGAGCATGATAGGGCAAAAATAGAGAGATTATGCACAAATCTGCGGGGGGTGGCGATCCATACGCTTAGTTCTGGAGGTCATCACCCATTAGCTAAATGTACCCGATGCATAAAACTTCTGACGCATTACGAGCACCCCCTCCCCGGATCCGTCGGCTATTAAAGCTTTAATTCGTTTTGTTCTCCGCTTCCAAACCCCGGATTTACCCATGCGGGGTAAACAAGCTGATTCAACTCTCGATTTTTTTTCTGACAATCATTCTCGATGTACATGCCAGCTTTTCATGTACCTCAAAATTTGATCCTTGAAAAATTGGAAGCCCTTACTTAACACCGTATCAATCTCTTTAACCTTGAAATCACACGAACGCGAATCATTTGCTTTATCCTAAATCACACTGAAGGATCATGTCTGAAGATGACAGCTCCCACTCTAGGGAGCGAGGCCCTGCTCCCAAGCGCGGTCGGTATGTCTCTAACGCTTGGTAAATCGACTCTGCTCGCCTCAATGATGAGCGTGACTAACGGATATTTAGCGTCAGTTGTCAAAAAAGAAAAGTGAAGGTAATCTCCGCCTTACAATATATATTGTTTAGGGGTTGATCAAGTCCATTATAGTGCAGCGGCGAGAACAATTGTGAGCAGTGCCAGACAAATGACCTTGTCTGCACGTACGCTCAGGGGAGGAAACGTCGGCGAGCAACAGGCGCCCCACGGCAAACAATCCCTGAGTGAGTTTTTGACCACACCTTTAAGCCCGTTCGACTGATTCTCATGGCTGTTATCTTTTTCAAAGACCATCGAGTGAGCTCCCCCGTGCCGTTCCCGATACAGAATTGACGAAATCACTTGCACAAATGATGAATCGTATCTCTGATTTGGAGCAAAATTGTCAATCCCTGAAGACTCAACTGGCCGCCCCACATGCCTCTGATCTCAATCCCACACCCCAGTCGACAAGCCGCCAGTCATCATTGTCTTCGCGCCTCAACGAGCCCGTAATCCCGGTTGATGAGAGCTTTCGTGGACCAACAAACATGCTTGAACCCATCCGCATCCTCAGCAAGACCGTTGCCAAATGGGATCAAATGCAAGAATTACCCGGTTATGAGGTACCACCCGAGCATTGTGCAGCCAATAACTGGGACTGGCATGATTCCACCACAGAGCGCATCTGCGGAATCGATATCCTAAACCGCGAGGCCCATATTGATGACATTGGCCAGCTGCAATCTACTGTCGACATCTACTTCTCTCAGATAAATCCGATGTTTCCTTGCTTGAACGAGAATCAATTTCGGGCACAATTACATGATGCGTTGGAGAATGGAGCCTCAAGTATGGACCGGCCAAATCGATATCAATTTTTTGCCCTTGTCCATTTGATCCAGGCAGAGGTGCTCATTTTAACGCAAGATTGGAAGCCATCCGACACAATTCCTGGCTGGAAATCAATTCTGCGCGCGGAGAATATTCTGAGCCGCCTTCTGTGGCAAGGAAATGGAAATTTGTTGACCATTCAATGCCTCGTTGTGAAATCGCGCTATTTCTTGTACCTGGAGCGTGGAGGTGCCGCTCACGAAACCATCACGCGTGCAGTCCGTCTGTGTTTCCAATTGGGTCTACACGACTCGTCCTCATGGGAGCAATGCTCCGCTTTCGAAAAAGTGATGCGACAGAGGGTGTTTTGGAGCGTGTTTCAGCTCGAGCGCAGTCTAGCTCTCAATAATGGTTACCCCTATTTGATTCGGGAATCAGAGATCAGTGTCGATCTGCCACCCTGCCACAATGATCAAGAGCTTTTCCCGGACGGCCCAATCCAGAATGAGGCTCACAGTAGTGGTAAGTCCTATGGACCTTTGGTAGTCATGGCGGCGAAATGGGGTGGTCTGGTATCCGATATCTGGGATGCAATGTTTGCGGCGAGGGCCAGGAAACCGATGACCCTTGAGTATATTGCCGGGATGGATGCCCGAGTCGCACATGTCATGAAAAACCTACCCTTTTACATGAAACCACCAGCCCCGGATCCGAAGTCCCAGTCTGTTGATAACCAGGCACCATTTTCTCCTCCCCATGTGGGCATTATTCAACTGGTAAATTTGGACGACTTCCCCCATATGTTATATCTCACAGCTAAACAAATCTTAGCGGTTCAATCAACTAAGACTCTTGCTTCACCAGAGCAGCCTACTCTCATTTGAATACGACCACGAAGTTGCCGCGACGTGCTTATCCATCATCCGTGATGTTCTGCGTATTATTCAGTCTTTACTAGACTCCCCAAATCGCGCCTCTAGCCGCTTCATCGCCGTCTTTCACATCGTGGTTACCCAAATCCCTTTAGTTTGTCTAATAATGCATCCCAAAAATTCTCTTGAAACGCGCGCGGGGGCTGCGTCCTGCTTCAAGACAGAATTGTCGATACTCCATGATCTTGCACCCACCTTCGCAATGGCGCGCCATGTTTTGCGGCGCCTACGCGCCCTGATCACCTCAGTCAAAGCCACCATGCAGGAGATTGCGCCCGCCTCCGTAGGCCATACGGATGCGACCGAGTCAATCGAAGTACCGCCGCATCAACCGATGGTGACTTCGCATTTGACTTATAATGTGCCAATTGACCTGGATAGTACGACACTGGATCAAATTTTGGGTGATTCGCTGTTCACAGATACCGACCCCGCGTTTCATCATAACGACCTCACATCCTTATGGCCGGACGATTTGATGTCTTTTCCCTGGGCCATACCGGCAGGCACTGTTCTGTAACAATTTGTAATCGTTTCTTAGATGATTCCGTTCTGACTTTTCTGCGCTGGAGTTGAACTCTCAATTGAAGACCAGTGGTGTGCGATTCACTATCGTCCATTCCTTACCCTACTGTCTACTCGTTATTTTATAATGTATGTGTATCTGGGACACTTAGCGGTGATGAGATTCATCTTCTCTAGATAGTCAAGGAATGTTTGAAATTTCTCAGTGACTACAAATCTCACAGTCTTGGTCCTCCTTTGCAAGAATTCCTTTTCTTTCCAACTTATCACTTATTCATGGCCAGTGCCGATCGAACCCAAATTGCTTGGTTGCGAATGTCGGCTTCGCGACCAGGCCCTCGTTTTGGGTCCCTGTAGCCTGGAGGAATTGTCGAGTCTTCATGTGGGTATTAAAGCAGAACTCCCTAGACTCAAACTGTTCAAAAACCACGATAGATTGTGGATTTCCCTTTTCGACAGCCCAGAGGTAGGATTGGGTGGCTGGTTCGTTTGACTGGCAATATTCAATCAACTGAGCCCCTTTCTCAATCACCTCTTCCATATCGGCTGTCTCTGAGTATTGCATGTGTGCCAAAATGGTCAGCCCTGGCTCCTCGGTTGTATCTGATCTCAGAAAGCTCTTTCCAATCGGCCTGGCAGACTTTACATTCGTCTCACTAACCAAGTCTTTGATCTGCTCTCTGAAACTTTGCATTTCTGGGGAAATAAGGTGTGTGCTCAGCGCATTTTGGTCAACATATCTGGCAGGGGCTTGGTCAGCATGCTTCATGAGATGCAGGTCATATTATCCTGTCGATCATTCCAATAGTAGAAGGTCTCAGCTCGGATGTATTCTGATTGGGCATCCGTACAATTCAAATACCACAATTTCTGTACCGTCATCATTATTCAGCGGTATACCGACATAATACATTAAGATACAGGGATCAACTTGTGCTGCCGTTACAGCCTGCCGGTAATGTCCAAGGAGCTTGATTGTTCTCACATGAGCGAAGCAACGGATGGATGTGGAGCCGTCTCTTACCTACCTCTTCGCGCTTCCCAGGCTGGCTGCTGATAATGACATGGAGAGCAACAGGCCCGGACATGTCTAGTTCTTCGTCGGTTGCTCGGTAGTCTGCGATATGAGGATAACAATAGGTCGCGAATCAAACATGGCTCCCGGCTTATATTTATCCATCATGACGGAATGCCAAAAAGTATGGCTTCCTATTTCCTATTAGTTGTATCTAATTTCATTGACGTGCCTCGGAATTCCATAACTATTTTCCGTCGCTTCCGTCGCTGTTCGGAGAAACCCGTATGAGCTGCACGCAAGGGAATGGCAGGGAGAGTATATGGGGTAATGGAGATAGAGAGAGGAAGATATCACTCTTCTAGAACTAACTACTGCAAGGCTACCTAGTTAACTAATTAGTTACCTAGTTAGTCAAAGGTCCGGGAGGAGCCTGAGGAATCCACCCGTATGCTCAACAACCAAGGGCGTTGGAGGCATCTGAACATGAATGTGGTACCTTCTGTGTTGATTTATTGAAGAGATTCAACTAATGTGACATACCAATTGCTTTCCTTACTTGAAATTTTGAAGACTATAGGGGTAATCATAGGCCATTTTAAGACTATTGTCTAACAATTCTGGTCTTGCTTTAAACCCTAGTTGAGCCTGTGAGCTACGTATTTACTGGCAAGAAAGGTTGACAATCAGCGTTTACGAACAAAAGATAGCAAAATTGTCATTGTTGAGCTACCAGTCTGAAAACCTACTCAGACGGAAAGGAATGAGAAAGATAACCTGTGAAAAAGCAATCCCAGCGTAGCCCGCCAAAAGTACAAGGGAAATGTACGACATATTTCCGGCAATGAAGGGCGGAAATCGTGAGTAGTTTCGCTCGAAGGATTCCGAATCCTAGTCTCACATCTAGAGCGAAGTCATGGAGCTCTAGCCGCGAAACACTACGCATGGTGGGGCTACACCTGGCTTTCCGTCATGGGAACATAAGTTTGTCTGATATTGGATGTTTAAAAGTGATGGCAACAATGCCTCATTATTGACTCGTTGTGATAAGTTTTGAGTAGCAGAGCAACACTTGTTCCTGGTTGCACTCCTGATTTCAGTTTTCATTACAATTCTTGAATATCGATCCTTGCTGAACCGTTTTCAAAATGCCCGCCATTCGAAATGATGTTGCTGCTGATAGTCAGGAGGCAATAGAGGCGAAGATTCGGGATGAGCGTCAAAAGCGTGTCACAAAGAATGGTGTTCAGCAGTTCCGCGAAGCCACCGGGGAGCTCTCCAAGTTTGCAGTCGATCCCTGGGCTCAATTCGATGGAGCCCGCCCTGTTGTCGACGAGGATGTCGACGTGCTCATTGTCGGATGTGGCTTCGGTGGTGTCCTGGCCGCGAAGAAGCTCCATGACGCTGGTGTAAAAAGAATTCGAATGGTTGACAAAGCTTCGGACTTTGGTGGTGTTTGGTATTGGAACAGGTTCGGCTTTCTTGATGAGACAAATCTACTGACCTCAAGATATAAAGAAATGCTAATAATCAAATTAGATATCCCGGTTTGTATTGCGACACAGAAGCGTACAGTCGACTCTCATCTTCTTATTAATTTCGTTCCTGATAGCTGACATTTTTGCTTAGTTACATATATATGCCTTTACTGGAGGAGACCGGTCATATCCCGAGTGCTAAATACGCTCCTGGTCATGAGATCCAGAGCCACATTCAAAATATCGCTGAAATGGAAGATTTGCGACCGCGAGCGCTATTCCAGACAGAATTGACAGCGATAACATGGGATCAGATTTCGGGATGTTGGGTTGGTAAAACGAGTAGAGATGATACGATTCGAGCTCGATTTGTCATATCAGCTATTGGCATTCTTCACAAACTACATCTCCCTGGGATTCCTGGAATTGAAGATTTCAAAGGCCACAGCTTTCATTCGTCGCGATGGGACTACGATTATACCGGTGGTGATCGATTTGATCAGCCTTTGAATAAGTTGCACGGCAAGCGCGTTGGTCTGGTTGGAACTGGGGCATCAACCATCCAAGCGTTACCCCATCTGGCTGCCTCTGGAGCAGAGGTTTTTGTCTTCCAGAGAACTCCCTCATCGGTAGATAGACGAGACAATGTCGAAACCGATCAGACTTGGTTCTCCTCGATGGCGTCAAAGCCAGGGTGGCAATATGAACGTGTCAACAACTTCGACGCTGTGTTTAACGGATCTAACCCCGGGGTGGACATGGTGGACGATGGGTGGACGAAGCACATATTCGCACTCCACGATCAGGAGGAGCGGGAATCATTCAAGGAGCGTCTACAAAATGTTGAGTCTGCGAAAATGGAGGAAATCCGGAGGCGGGTCGATAGCATCGTCCATAATTCTCCCACAGCGGAGGCGCTGAAAGCTTGGTACAATCGCGGATGCAAGCGGCCGTGCTTTAATGATCAATTTTTGCCAGCCTTCAACATGCCCAATGTGCATCTGGTTGACACGGATGGCAAAGGGGTTGAAAGTGTCACCGAGCAGGGCGTTGTTGCCGCGGGAGTTGAACACAAGCTCGACTGCATCATTTATGCAACCGGGTTTGACTGGGGAAATGACTATTCGGAGCGTGCGAATATGACAATTACAGGACGGGATGAAATCACGATGTCGGAGAAATGGATTACCGGACCGAGCACGCTTCATGGAATGTTGGGTCGAGATTTCCCTAATTTGTTGCTCTTCACCCATCTTCAGAGCTCCACGTCTCCCAACTATACCCATCTCCTGCATGAGAGAGCACAGCATGCCGCCTACATTGTCGCAGAGACCATGCGACGAAATGCCAAATCGGTTGAACCCACACAGGAAGCGGAAAATGCTTGGGTGAAGACGCTCGAGGGCATTGCAATGCAGCATCTGGGATTCTTCCAGCAATGCACAAGAGGTAGGCCTGATTATCAAGACTTCATAATTCCGAAGAATTTGGTTTAGAAAAAGGGGTAACCAGTTTTGCTAACACATGTTAACAGGGTATCTCAATCAAGAAGGACAAATCTCACAGGCCAACCTCCGCAATGCTTCAGTAGGTATGTCAACAGGTGATTGGGCAGCATTAACAGCTGCATGGCGCATTGATGGGCGCATGGAAGGAGTGGAGTTCGATCGCGATTGAGCACTTTTCTCTTATGTTTTTGATAGATACCGTTGCACAATTACAGTGACCTGTCTTCCATAATCGTTCTGGGGAAAGTTTATAACCGTATATAGTGCAATCTGAATTCTAGCAATGCTCTTCATATGCCGCTATAGTGGCTGGTCTCCTTTTTCTTTTCTGTCTGAGTAAAAATTACTTGCAATCTAACTCTGTAAAAATTGCTCTGAATTTGGATGGTTAGTATGACTCAGTCGTTCAACTAATTCTATGAGCCCTTTTCCCCCGTGGTAGTTTTGCTTGAGGCAGCCGACTTAGACGCTTCTCCAGTCTCATTGGGTTTACCATCACGCCCAGCGACGACCCAATCATACACACTCCAGCCATTGAACTACACATAGATCTATATAAGCAAGATCTCACGAGTCGAGGAAGCGGGGAATCTCACGGAGGTATAACAATATTCCAAGGGGACCCTACGCCCATCGCCAGCGGCATAAGCCCAGCGTTGTAGAGGTATGCCCAGTACACATTTGACTTCATGGTTTTAGTTGCGTGATGACCAATCGACAACTCAATGTAGATATCACGAAGTGAAGAATTCAAGAGCACAACGTCTGCTGAGGCCATTGGAATTGAGCTACCACTTTGCAGAGCGATGCTAACATCAGCGGCGGCCAACGCTGCAGCGTCATTTATTCCATCCCCAACCTGATATCATGTTCGGCATTAGCAGTGGTAATCTACACAAACCGGAAAAATCTAAGCTCACCATTGCAACGATCTTCCCCTCAGCTCGAAGTTTTTGGAGCTGCTGGACTTTTTCAATCGGACTGAGACTGTGCCAAGTGTCCATGATTCCAGCATGACGGGCTATATCGAGAGCAACTGCTTCTCTGTCACCAGTCATCTGAGTTGATGTCAATCTGCGTTGGTCTTGAAATCAATTCAAACGTGAAAAAACCCTACCAAGCAGCATTTGATGCCACGGCCTTGAAGCTCGACAATGGCTTGCACGGTATCCTCCTTCAATTAGGCTCGAAAGGTGATGTAGCCAGCATAGTCTCCGTCCAGAGCCAGCAGAACACACATTTCTGAAGCCCCCATTGCAGCCAAATCAGCTTCCATTTTGCGCTCGGAATCATGTATACCACATTCACGAAGCATCGCAGCGTTACCCATGCACACTGAGTGTGGACCAATAACAGATCCGATGCCTGGGCCAGATAAATTCTCATAGTTGAGCACCTGGAGCCCTACCTTGCACTTCCCCGGGACTCTGGCGTCGGAATAATCTAGAAGAATGCTCCGCGCCCAGTGTGAGGGAGCCTTTTCTTCCGCTAATGCAATTATCTCCCACCACCTTTCCTGGGAGATATCACCGCTCATTTCAAACCTATAGACGGATATTTTACCGGAGGTCAGCGTCCCCGTCTTATCGAAAATAACTGTTGTGGCACTTGAAAGCATCCGCAAAGTCAACGCGCCACGTTTCAGCACTATACCTCGCGCCGCACTTGTTCCTGAAATCCAAGTTCTGATTAGTGAAGAGCTCTCACCCAATGGATATTCACTGATCAGGTAAGTATTGCCAATGCGCTGGCTCTGGGGAGCACTCACCACTAGCAATCATTACGGCAGCAGGTTGGCTCAGGCTAATGGCGCAGGGACAGGCTACAACCAGTGTCGCCATCATGAATTCAAGTGCTTTCAGTAGGCCATCTGGTAGCCGGTATAAGAAAGAAACAATAGATAAGATAGCTGCGGTGGGGACAATTGCGCCGGAGAACCGTTCGGCAGACAGCTGAAGCCCTGTTTTCTTCCGCTGCCCTTGTAAGATCAAGTTGATAACCTCACTCATGCGGCCCCTGCCTCCTCCAGATACAACCTCCAAGTGAACAGGTTCATTCCCCTCATGCAGAGTCCCAGCCAAGCAAATATCCCCGACATTCTTCTTGATCGAGCGAGATTCGCCTGTGTAAATTCTCGTTTACCAGCAGATGTCCTTGATAGAAATAGCCAGGATGGCTGACCAGAATGCCATCACAAAGAAATCTCTCTTTCGGTTGTATGAGAACTTTGTCCCCAGGGTTTAGTAGTTGAGACGGCACTGGTCGACCGAGAGCGAGCGCATATGCCTGCATGGGTAGAAGCCCCGCAAATTCGATCAGCGCCGCCGTGGCAGAGCGTCGAAGTTGGGCCGACATGAATTTATTGAGTGACATGACTGAAAGCAGCGTAGCAGATGTAGCGACATACCATGGGGGTTCAAATGTTCTTACCCACTCCACTTTTTCGGGTCCCCTCTCAAAATATATATATCACTTGTATAGTATATAGCACCACCATTTTATGGTCTATAATATTGTAATTAAATGTCAGGGTTGCTTAATAACAGCACTTTCGAAAATTCGCTTAATATTTTGTGTAATACCCCTTAGCCTTCCTCACTGCCTTTAAACGTCTTCCTATGCTCAATATTAGCGAATCTATCTTTGCCTAATCTAATGCCTTCTAAGCTTCCACCAGGCATTTTTTAAAATATTGCCAGTCTACCTCCGACCTTCCTTGGCTAATAAGCTCTAGAAATATTGCAAAAAGCTTCACTTTTAACCAGCGCTATACCGGTTCAATTGGGTTTAAATCGGGTGAGTGCGCGGGCCAATCCTCGACGTATACTCTGTGAGTTTCAAACCACTCTTACGTGTCCTTCGCTAGATAAATTCTCGCGTTATCTTGCTGAAATACTAAAGTAGGGGTGTAGATTGGCATTAGACCTTTTTCGAGCGTCGAAATATACGACTTTGTAGTATAACCCCTCCCTAAACCCGATTCTTCGTCACGTTCTATAATTATTAAATCTGTTCGACCTCCTATCTAGATTCCGGCCTAAACCATTTGTGAAATATCTTTTACGTGAGCCTTAGCATTCACAAGATCGCGCCGAAGACCCTCGGTGTCTATACGGAAGCACCATTGTGGTCCAAAGTTCGAGGTTCGCTGCACCGAACACTCGTCCGAGAAGATCTACGATTGGAAGCTTTCACGCCACTATTTTCGCGTAAATCTTAGCCGTTTCCTTGCAAGAGGAGGCTTAATTGGTATGTTCTATTTTGAACGTCATTTTTTAAGTCTAAATTGCTGCAAAACTCGCTATATAGTAGATCGAGCCGGATGACTAGGTGTCGCAGCACTAAGCTATTTATAGGTCCAAAACGGCTACCGGCGCGCTTGTAAATAGAGGCAAGTGATAGCTCAAGAGCTTAGCATAGGAGGCCGGCCGGTTTTTTCGCGATTCTCTAGCTTTTCGCCTTCTAAATAGCGTTTTAGCGTATTGTAGATTGTCTTGCGAGAACAGCCGAAATCATTAGCTAATTTCACCTACGAGACACCACACTCATAAGCAGACACAATAGCTGACCTTTGTGTAGCAGTAAGCTACGCCGTTTTGCTAATTTTTGCGCCTATTTTCATTGCAATTTGAGCAATAGGGGAGGTGTAGGAAGAAAAATAAAATGGTGGGTTGGTTGCCGGGTCAAATTGTAGTGGGGCAGTGGGTAAGAACATATGACCTGTATCTGTAGCTAATAGGGTAGTCTGTAAAGTAAAAGATTAGACTTATGGCATACAACATCGTAGTTGACTAGGCAATGAGAGTATCCATTGACAGATAGGAGAGTCCATTAGCAACGCTAGTTCGGAAGGATTGAACGGTGGCTTGATAAAATGGCCATCCAAAAGCGCCTTGCACGAGACCCTCCAAGATGAGCATGTAATGATGTCTAGTCCCAATGTCGAAAAAGCCCCCAGTCCCGGCATGAAGCAACAGAATGGGAAACACTAGTTCCAGGTTTTTGGACCGGAACATTGATCGTAACCAGTTTCTGGGACAATTGGCTTGCAGGTGAAACCCAGTTGCTCTATCACAGCGACAATCCTATGAGGCTGGAGAACTCGACCATTGTACACCACGTCTGCAAGACCTGTGAGAGGATCCAGGTGGACCATCGTTATGCCATCTAGACCCAACAGTTTCTCCTCAATTGAGCTAGCGCAACTAGCACAACTCATCCCCTGGATCTGAGAAGAGAGGACTTGGCTACACGGGTTGGTCTTCCGATCTCCAATTTCCGCCGATTGGTGCAGCAAGACATAGGAAGACAAGTCGATTGACGTGATTTTTTCATACCGGTGCAAGAAAATGCTCACGATGAAAGCACCGTAAATGCGACTGGCCGCCATTTGTGGTTGAATGTTGACGCCAACAACGCTCTCATGAAAGAGCCCGTATTGTGCGGCGAAGTGTATAAAATATCCAAATCCATCGAAATTCGAGCGGCGCACGTGCGGAATTGGATCCCTACATATCTTCACTTAACCTTTCTCTTCTTTTTTCTTTACTGCCTTGTCTCTTTTCTTCTCATCACACACGAACTTCATGGATACATTCGCTGAACGTATCCCGTCCCACGCGTGCAAGGGATCTCACCGCAATCGAATCTAACGGCGGATACTCATCTGTTGGTCGACCATGGCTGCCGTGGGATTAGCCCTTTTCACTCCGAACCAAAGGCTCGGGCAGCTTTTCTCTTACTCGTCTTTCCTGGGGCAGGCTTTTTTGCCTGTTTCAATGCGTTTGGAGCACTTTTGCTTTTATTGACATTTGTCTTGCTTCCGGTCTGTTTTTTAGCGTGGTTTGGTGTTGGGAGATTAGCATTCCCAATAGGTTTGTGGCTGCTCTCCATCGGTGGCGCGTACTGGGCTGCACCTCCTACTGCAGTTTGGGAAGGGGCTGGATGGTTGAGCGGCATCCTGCTGCTAGGGCTTTATGTAGGATTCAATCGGTTCTCTGCTCGGGCGGCATGCAAAGCAGCATCAACGAGAGACCGTCGAAACCTCGATCTTCCTGGATTTCTCCAATTAGTTGAAGATGACGCCGTCTCACCGCCCCTTAGGCTGAGCGCGAACTCACACTGTACGAGCTGCGATGGATACAGTGGCTTTTTGATCTTGGGTTGCAGAATTTGAACGATTTCTCCAACTTCGTTGCGATTGACCGGTTTCAGACATCGGCATTTGATATCAATTACACGAAGCGATGTACCGCTTAGCAATGTACCAAGGAATATGTGTACCGAACTTTCCCGGTTATTGCAGCAATACCTATCGTCAACTTATTGCCAAAAGCTTGAGCCCTCCTGTCCTCGGATATTGGAAGTGGGAGGCTCTCTGGGGCAAGTTCACGACTAATTTCGATCCTGTGAAGGAGGACAACATCATGGTCACCGGCTTCTTCCTGCAGGCTGTTGCGTTATACACGGCCAATACAGGAGACATGCGCTACACAAAGCTTGTTTCGTTGGCATTTGGGGTCAGCAAAGGCCGAGTTTACGATTACGATATTCACAGCCTTTCGAACGCCGTGGTCCGACAATGGGAATCTAATCCTTATACACTGTTTCCCTGTGGGCCTCATTGATCTACTCCCTGCAATTTACAAGGTCGAGTGGGTCAGGTTGTCTACGATCGTGTCTTTGGTACAACTCACGCGGCCAATCTCACCTCGAAGTTCGAATATGCTTTGATCACCTAGTTCATGGAGCCAGATGGCTCAATTATTCCGATCCGTTCCGGGATTACTGGGTTCACAATTCCAGGCCTGTGTGGTGTTTTAACTGATTTAGCTAATGCTATGATGTGCCGTGGCCACTTGGACCACATTGCAAGGCGCAATTGGGCCATATTCCGTAAATTGATGTTCGATTCAACGACAGGGATAAATTGGAGACCGTAGGACTGATTGGCGCTGATAGTATTGATCCGGGTAACTACAGAACCTGTCCTTATTCCATGACCCATGCAATCGCCCATACCGCTGGTGAGTTTGGAGACGAGCAGATACGCAAGAAGGCTCTGGAAAAGCTGCATCTTGAAATGAACCCGTTGGTAGCGAAGACCGGTGTCATCCACTGGCCACTGGAAAAAGCATCCTCGCACACCAAGACGGCCACCGTCAAAGCCATGTTACTTCGCAAGGAAGACTGGAAATCCCTGATCATGAGGGTGAGTTAGCGGCTTTTTTCGGATACTATGAGGGTTTAGCTGCTTACAGATATACAAAATAACCAGGGACCAGATGAGACAACCTTGAAAGGCCCCATCTTAGATCAAGTTCCTTACCCAGGAGTACTCGTCGCAAAGGCGCGCTCCAATACCTCGCACGATCTCCACTTGCTTCTGTATCCTTCCGCCGCATCCGGTAAATTTGTTATTGCGGTTGCGCGTTTGGAACCAAAAAGTGGATATATTTACAGAAGAAAGACATTGCTTTCGACTGACACTCATGGAGTCGCCACAGGATGGACGCACGAGCGTAACCATCGAGCCAGCGGTTAAATAAGCGACGCACTCGCAATTGAAACTGTTCTTAGGGCGTTGTTTGTATCATTGCTATTATTGTTTTTGATTTGATTTCTATGATACTATAACAATGAAACAATTGCGCGTCAATGTAGTTGTGGCTTATGTCTTTGTCAGCATGCCGATAGTCCCCTCGGCTCTTATATAGATGAAGGAACAATGCGTCTCGGAGGACTAGATCTGGCGAGTACAAGTATTTTATATGGGACATATTATTGCTCATCGTGATCTTTTTTCTACCTGTCCCGGCTTTCCGAGTGCATCCCCGCCTACGTAGCCTACGGCCCGCGTACTCGACCGCTCATCGGAATTTTTACCAGTACTGTCGCAGAAGAGGAGGAAAATTCTGAAGTTGAAGACCATAACTTTAAGGGGAAGATATAAACTGTCTCGAACTTATGTAGCTGCCATACTAACTCCCTAGGTACTTCATTACCCCTAGGGCAAAGAAGGCACAGATCAAGCTCGGGGGCCTGCGGCGCTAATCCAGGCAATCAGTAAAAAAAGACAATAATTCACAACCTATCAAGCCCCAGAATGTATTGGTTACTAAGAAAGAATTAAAAGCTATTTCAAAGCATGTTTTGCTTCCCCAGCGGACTCTGTACATAACTGTACGTAGGTTAGCGGCCTGAGAACTGGGTACCCCCGTAGGACTGTTTCTTTACTCAGACCCCCCCGTTTCTCTCGTTTTGCTACTAGTACAAAATTCAAAATTCTTCTCCGTCAAACCTCTTCTCCATATTCCGTCGAACTGCCAGCAACGTTGCAGTCTGTCACTCCCTGCACCGAATCTTGTCTTCCCTCCAGAGCCACAAGAGGGCAGCAGTGCCGCCTGGTCCGAATAAAATTGCCAAAAAAATAGTCCCTAATGCGAATTGAAGCTTGAACGTGATGCTTTGGTGCCGAGATGGGGTATTCCACAAGCAACTAAGGAAACTTAGGAAGAGGCCGGTATTTGCCATTGAAAGGTAATTATTCCACAGGAACTCTTTACCAAACTGGACTGCAACTAGGTGCATCCAATGGCAAACAGTAGAAATTGCAAAGCTAGTCGTGTAAGCCTGTTTGATCCTTGGAAGATCTTGATGGCCGTACATTGGTTGTACAGAGTTGCGGCCGATGGCCGAATTAAACAAGGCAACCAGTGTTGGGGCTACTAGTGGGCATGCAAGTCCGAATCCCACAATCATGGCACCGGTAAAATCGCTTAATGTTGTATTTGGCCACAGAGCGCCCAGAATAGGACTGCAAATACCACCTACCAAAATGACACTGGCAATTTGGGCGCGGTAGATGAGGTATGAGTCAGAAATGGTGATTGTGTACCCATATGCCTGTGGGAAAAGGAGCTGACCCCTGAAAATAGATGTGGCAAGCAAAGCCAACCAAGCCCAGAGAACCTTGCGGTCTACGAACCATGCAGCATACGCAACGGGCAATCTAAGAAACCACCCTCAGTTAGTGGTTCAATCAAAGGATAGAAATATCATGAAGAAAGTGAACTGACACAAGTGGCTTGAGCAAAAGATTCTTTGTTCGCAGAATCTCAATAGCCCCAATAGTCCCAAATGGCAATAAGGTCAAGAAGCTGAGAAATGTTTCTAGGTTGCTATGGAATATATCAGGATCACAGGCAGTTCGAGCGAAAGGTTTGCTGATATTTGGCGAAAAACCCCACAGGTATTGCCGAACGAATGCGACGGCAGTCAAGAGCGTGAGGAAATTTGACGAATTTTTCAAAACGACCAGGAAAGATGACTGGGCGATCACATCCTTTGCCATAGACTGTGGTGTCCACCCGTCCCAAGGAATGCTACCTTGACGGCCCTTGTAGGGAATAAATTTGAGCGGTGGTCCACCAAGGAGGAGCTCGGTAGAAGCGTTCACTTCGGCCTCTTCGCCAAAAAGCGGCATGATACTTGTTCCAACAATTTTCCACAAAATATTCTGTGTTGCTTGGAATCTAGTGGCCATTGATGACATGGTGTAAGCCTTCATGACTCTTTCATTCCGTGCGTCCTGATAATGCTGCAGAACCTCTGTAACTTGGTTGTAGGATGGCTGGAGGGACCCGAATTTGGTGGATTTCTTAGCTTCATATAGCAAATTGGCAAGTACAGTTGCGCTTTCAATTGCCGTGTTCCCACCATGGCCGGCATTAGGGGTGACCTTGTGTGCAGCATCGCCTAGAATCGCAATCCGCTCACTAAACCAACGATCAAAGGCGGCTTCTTCAAGAGAAACCATGGCCAATTTGCTTCTGTTTCCCGCCAAATCACCCAAAGTGGTTGCATGAGTGACTTGAAGATCCGCGTTTTTGCTTAGCGTATCTTCTATATCCTGCTTGCTGTACCGCGGAATATGCGGGAACTTGTATGTTTTCTCCAATCTCAAGATCAAGAACCAGAACTTTTTGTTGAAATCGGTGACAACACAGATGCCAGACCGCTTCTCGCTGTAGGTAATATGAGAAGTCCCAGGCACCAGCTCTGGGTCATCGCTCACAAAGGTCGAAACTCCAAAAACGCACGAATATTCGCTCATCATACCTGTCAATTCAAAACACGTCCTATCAGCACACTGCGAAGGATCGTCCACGAGAACGCAGAAGTCAAACTTGCTTCACGTACTTGTAGCTTCCCGTTTGGCCACCTGTGGCTCTGTCGTCTCCAATTTATTCCATATCGCCTGGCGGGTGAAGCTATGGACTCCATCAGCTCCTATGATGATATCACCTTCGAAGGTTGCTCCATTGTCAGTGACAGCAATTGTACGATTTTGATCGCACTGAATATCGACAACCTTGTGCGAGCAAAATATTTTTGACTTGCCTCTGAGGTTTCGGTAGAGAATTTCCAATAGTTCCTCCCGCTCAAGGAAAAGGATGGGATATCCATGGCGTCTTTCAAGCTTGTGGGCAAATTTGGATGCGCTGATAACACTCCCATCCGAGCGGCGATGAAACGCAGTTTCAACGGGGACTGTGCTTGCGTAAATTTCCTCGTAAAGACCCAACTGATCCATGATGCGCAAAGCATTTGGTTGAAGCCCAATACTGGCACCACCGGAAAATGCAACTTTCTCACCACGTTCCAGGAGCACGAAGTCGATCCCTGCGCGCTCCAACATGTGTGCGAGGCTCAGACCAGAAACTGCTGCGCCCACGATGATGACCCGGAAGACTTTTTTGGATGAACCCATTTTCTTCATTGTCTCATTAACTGATATTTGCTGTTGTGTGGCTTTAAAGTTCGTCGTTCTGTTGTTTACAGGAGGAACTGGTTTGGGGATTTAATAGCAGAAGAAGGAAGAAGAATTAATACGAGCAATATGGATAGAATTGGTAGAGACGAGGAGAGGAAGAAGAGATCTCTCCCCAGAGCTATCTAGGACTACAGATATTGTCACGATCTGTACTGTATCCGGCCAATTAGAGATATCAACGACTCTGTATTTCCATTCCCCCTATTTCTCACTATTTATGGGGCCATTTCTAATTACATGACTTAACCTCCGGATGTGCTGTATACCCGAAGTCATTCGGATCATCCATAGACCCGGTTTCATGCAGTATTCGTAAGATATTTGTGACATATGTTGGGAGCCTGAGGCACCCAGCGCGTGGATTCTTAACGGATTTGTCTCTGTCGGAATATTTACTGTCAGGTACTTCTTAGCCATCCACAACTTCCGGAAACCCACCAGGTCCGTACCGGAATTGGTGAAATATTTTGAGCAGAGAGGATCACCAGCGTTAGCTTAAGTAATTTTCACAACAAAGTGCTCCGGTAAAGACGAAATCAGTATTCCGTCGGTCGCATTTCCGGCAGTTCATCTGCAATGCCATCACGAGTCAGACTACGATGTCCAGGTGTGTAGGAGTGTCTTGGAAGATGAATCTTCAATTTCAAAACACGTAAGGGTATCGGTGGTCATCGCCAGAGATGAGGATGGGCAATCGACGTGGATAAAGAGATTGCAAGTTGGAGATGAAAAACCAAAGCATGAACCATTTTAAGAGGGATTCCAAAGCTTAACCGGTGCATAATTCCGTTTATCCGCATTGTCAAAACGATCGATCGGGCCACTGTTGAGAAGACACTCGCAAGTATACTTAGACCCGATGAGTATCTCTCCTCGAGTGATTTGGCCCCAGCTCTCGGTCAGCATTCTATCCCTGTCCTTTCGGAGCTACCTCCTGGTAATATATGGTATCTCCAGGGCTGTTGTGTCATTGTCTTACTAATTGCTTTTCTGTTTAAGATTAGAATTGCAGCATCCAACTCGCGACGATGGCGTCAGAACACCTACCCTCGCTTGATTTTGATCCGGAACTCTCAGCGATACTGCCATTGCTTCCCCTTCCTAAGGGACTCACAGTTGAGATGCTCCCAGCTTTACGTCAAGCCACGTCTCAGGCGACGCACGCAGAATCTACCATTGCAGGCAGACCAATTCGCCACCGTGAGATAGATATTGACGGACCGAACGGAAAAATTACTCTTTCTATACTAGAGAAAATTGACTCTACAATTCAAAAGAACCGTCCGGGTTTTTATTACATTCATGGTGGTGGGAGAATCTTGGGTAATCGTTTCAGCGGTTTGGAGACAGTGCTTGAATGGGTGGAGAAATTGGATGCAGTGTGCATATCCGTCGAATATCGATTGGCACCGGAATTTCAAGGGACGTCGGCGGTTGAAGAGTGCTATAAAGGGCTGGAGTGGATTGGAGAGAAGTTTGATCAGTTGGGAATTGATCCGGCCAAATTGATGATTGCTGGCCAATCCTCAGGAGGTGGACTTGCAGCGGGCATAGCGCTCCTGACACGGGATAGAAAAGGCCCCTTGTTGAGTGCCCAGTTGCTTATGTGCCCGCAGCTGGATGATCAGAATAATACCGTTTCGAGCCGCCAGTTCTTGCATCGGGGCATCTGGAACGGTAAGGACAATGCTCTAGGTTGGCAGTGCGTCCTTGGTGGTTCAAATGAGGTCAGCCCTTATCTTTCCCCTTCACGGGCAACAGATCTCACTGGACTCCCTCCGGCATACATTGACGTGGGCTCCGCGGAGGTTTTCCGCGATGAGGATGTCAAATACGCAACACGGCTATGGGAGTCGGGGGTGCAGACAGAGTTGCATGTCTGGTCGGGAGGCTACCATGTCTTTGACATGATGGCACCAAGCTCCGAATTGGCTCGGAAAGCGATCGCAGCCCGGACTGCATGGGTTGTTAAATTATTATCGTGAGATGCTCTGAGCTGTCTTCATCATTTCTTGCTTGGGTGCGTCGTCAAAAACAAGCTTCCATCAAGATGAAGATAATGACTTCTGGGGCCAGTTGTCATCAGTAGTCTGTTGTTAAATACGCTAGGTATTAAATATAGTGAAAAAAATCCACAAACTATAGGATTCAATTCAACTCAATTTTGTTCCTTTCTCTGGTGTGTATATACGGCAGTTTTTAGCCGCCATGAGGCCACATCGTATTTTGATGCCCAGGTGGATCTTCATTTCCCTGCTTGCATTGGCAGATTGTCGCGCTCTCTCTTGTTGCTGCATATATAGCACCATGGTGATCTTTATCTAGAAATAGCCTGTTGACGAGAAATGCACTTTTTGCGAGAAATGCCCTACTTATATAAAATGGCTTTTTTGAATGAAACAGTCTTTCTATAAGTAATAGCCTCTAAAATGGGCTGTATAATAGCCTGGGAAGTAAAAACGAAATATAAGTTACAAGAATCGCGTTTTGGATATTGTAGTGGTGGAACCCGTGAGAGTGGCGTGTTAGTGGCCTGAGGTATCGCAAATGCCTTGGGAAGCTTGCATGCAGTCTTTTCTTAGGGATAGCATCACCCTACCATCCTCAATATGACTACAGTTTTTCCTCTAGGTTGTTCTTTTATGATATACCTTCAATTCCAGTGCAGTAGGCACCTACAGGGACTGCTCTCTATGTCTGTACTGGACATGGGAGTGGTCGGTTGTGCTGTCTCCATTGATATCGATCCGTCTGCTATGTCAGACTGCCATCGTGCTATCCCCATTTCAATATATATATCTATACCTCACTTTCTACAATACTCTTTCTTCCTCTTATTTTGTCTAAAAACCTAAAAAATCCCGTTCTTCTTAGGTTATTACGTGTATTTATATAGGATGAAATTATATACTTTATTTGAATCAAAATATACGCGTTTACAGAGTGAAAATAAAAAGCAAAATGGTAAAGGTAATATTACTAAGTAAACTACCAAGGGATTAATGAAGTAGTAGCTTATAGTTTTTACTAGCCAGGGGTTCGAATCTGGCGAGTGGTGTTTGTTTTTGTCACCTTAATGGCCTTAACAATAGCTACAATACTAGCTACGGTTGCTGGTCATTTTAATAGAAATCATAGCCTTAATGCTGCTCAATTGGCTATAAGTTGCCCAAATGTTGCCTAGTTGTAAGCAAATTACCAATATTACAGCTACATATTACATAAATTAAGCATCCCATAACTTAGTTAGTTATTTTTGGCTGTTTACATTGTTTGTAATCCAATTTAGGATCCCCGACCCAGACCCAACCGGGTTGGACCCGGGTTAGGTCCGGGTTTTACTAGGTCGTGCGGAAGACTTGGAGTAGGTACAGACTTTGACACCCTATGTAATTCCGATTTTATCAAAGCTTTGTGAGACTGATAGCCCTCTTGGCGGCCTCAAGATGTGCTTTATATCCTTGCATCAGGGCATTATAGTCAAAAGAGACGAGCAAAAACTGCATTCCTTCCTCAGTCCGCTTCTTCGCCGTAAGCTCAGTGGACCCCATACTCCCCACTGGCTTGCCGAGTTTCTTCCCGACGGAACATAGTTCGGCTAAGGCGTTAACAAACTCTGCCTCTTCGCCATCGCTTCCTCCCGGAAGTCCTTGGGATAAACGAAGATCGTATGGGCCAATGAAAGCACCCGTCACCCCTTCAATGGCCATGATGGCTTCGGCATTTTGAACAGCCAGGCAGGTTTCAAGGATCGGCAAGATTGCGATCTGGCCAGCTTTCGCCTTTGCATAATACTGTGCAAAGGTTTGTGTGGCAGGATCAGCAAATGGGGCTTGATAGGGACCGAAGCTGCGGGTGCCATGGGGTGGATAGCGAGCTCTTTGGACGATGGCTTCCATCTCCTCCGGTGTCTGAACCATTGGAATGATAATTCCAGCCGCGCCGCTGTCAAGAGCCCATTTGATATACTCAGTCGAGTGGGAAGGGATTCGAATGAGTGGCAAACAGTTGCCCGCAGAAGCTGCACTCACAGTGTGAACGAGGTCTACCACTTGAGCCATTGTCAGAGGAGAATGCTCTGCATCAATCATCACCCACTGGAAGCCGGATCTGGCGGTGATTTTGGCAACTGTGGTATCGGCCATAGATAAGATAGCCCCTAACAAGGGGCTATCGGATCTTTGAATGGCATTCTGGAAAGAGACCACAGCTGATGGTATGGTCCCTGTATTGAGGGAATCGCCGTCCGTGTACATGGGTGAACAGGGCCGTTAGCAACTTTCGAAGATCAAAGCGATGCGAGTGTTGTGTGACAGACTATGCTGAGGAAGACGAGGATTGCTAATTATACGGATAGTATCGGCAAGTTAGTTTCCTAATATATGTTTCTGACTTCTCCAGAGTCGGATATCGGAAATAAGAAAGAGTCGGAATTAGCTTGGTCAGAAGCCCTATCTGCAAGAACCTAAATGTAGATATGGAAAAGAACTGATACGTAAATGTCATCCCCAAAAAAATGGTACTACAACCACAATGAGGTGGCAAATTGTTCGTAGTAATTGAAAACTGGAAGTGAACAAATGTAGCTTTCGTGGATTGTTATAGGACCAAGGGAGACGGGAAAGCCCCTTCCATCGCCTATTTGCACTGCCCCTAGAGGGTCTAATCAATAAACTGTTATATCTCAACTATGGAATCACTTTCAGGCCTGCCAAACATGTCAAGCGTTAATTTAATCCGTTTTCCAGGCAGAAAACTTTTGTAATTGTCCGATCCTCGTCCACCAGAGCCAAATAGAACCAGGCTTTTGGCAAGCACTCTCAGGGCGTTTCCCTATCAAAGCTTTACTCGTCAAAATATAGCGGCGGCATTTGGTGGTGACGCAACACCTCCTGGAATCCTCAGAGGGACGCTAGTCAAGAGAAATGTATATCGATTCAATCGTGCACAGGTAGTCGCCAGAGCTTCCAGATCCCAAAGCTCACCGATGGGCATTCCGAACATAGGGATGAGACTCTGATGCAGGGCTTGCCTTTTAATCAGCCTGGGAAAGTTTTGAGCGGCTTCTCATACTAACAGGGTTGTTCAGATGGATAAGGAACGGTTTCCCATGCGATTGCATCTCCAGCCACAGCCGCAAAATGCTCGTTCCAGATCCATGCTAGAATTTCTGTATTGGCGGCGACTCCGATACACTTTTTGGCTGGATCTTGAAAATAGGCCTCACGCTGATGTGGGTTCTCGTGATACCACTTTATAAGCCCGCTGCGTATACACAAGATATCGCCTTGTTTGAAGCTAACGCCTTGCTCCATCGCTGCTTGTTTGAGATCGTGCAGTTGAATTTCGTGTCGCTCCACGGGGGAAGCCGCAATTCCGTGACGCTCAGAATAGGCAACATAGTCCAGGAGCACGCCGCGGCCGACAATACCACCACGCTGATGCCATTCTAGACAAAGAGAAACGAGTTATCATACTGCTGATATTCACCTCTACTTCGGTTACTGAAAAATTGATCCTGTCTTACTGTCTATCCCCAGGGTATCTTTTGGTTCAGAGCCCGCAATCTCGTCCTTCTGGATTCCATTATACAACTTCTCGCTCGCATGGTGAACGACATGTCGCAGGCCGTCCCATTGTGAGCCGGACTGGGTGTTAATTGATATAGTATCATCATAGCTTTTCGAAGGTGAAAAGGTCGAATTGTCGATGATGGTATGCTGGAAAGGGCGACGGTTGAACACAGGAATTGATGGGACATTCAATGGGAGGCTATTTTGCGTGAAAACTTAGGTTTGCTCTAGTCTCCAGTTGATTGTTTTCGATTGGAATACTCACTTTAGTGATATACTGATACCGTCTCGCACTTCATTCACGGCACTCAAGACTACTTCAGCTGTGAGAAGATTTAACGTACCGAACTCATCCTTCTGATCGCCTTGGTTCCATAAGCCCCAAGTGCAGCCTTTTGGTAAGTCTGGAACCTCCGGTAGCTCATCAAATGTAGGAAGAGATGCCATCTGGGTACAAAATAGGCGTCTTGAAAAGGTATTACTCCCTAAGGGCGAATATTACCTGAAAGCCAATCTCTTTCAGTTTCTTTCTTCTTAATGAGTCCCAACTTTCAAATCCAGGGCTTTTCAGCCTTTTTTTTTTTAGTTAACTGTCCGGCCTCGGAATCATGTCTGTATGACATTTCCGACTTCCGCTGCAACGGATAAGACGGCACCGCAGTCGACCGGAGATTATCAGCAGAATCAATGCGAGGATAAAATATTGAACTAAGCCGAATCGAAACTGACTCACTTCCCTCTTAGAGATATCATATTCTATGATTGTTCAGTCTCTCACTCGACCGCAAGCTAGATCGTGGGGAGATTCCGAATTCCCTACTCCGCCTTCCGGGGATAATTTCCATGTTAGACCAAGCGCGAGTGGCGATGAAACCATTTAAAGTGAAGGATTACATATCAAGAGAACTGTCATGTAGATAGGTTGTCGTCCCTCTTGAGTTCTCTGCTCATTAAGGGTTATTTCATTCCTGGCTCTTTCTTCATCCCAAAACAATACCTCACTTTATTTTCTTCATGTTTCAAAGACGACCCATTTGAGTAGAAAGAAAATGGCCAATCCAGGTGACTTTGGGGCTGCATATCCAGCCAAACAAACCAATGGCTACCACCGAGACGTTGATTTCATCCGTCAAGCGGTCGATAAAGCCGGCACCAACGCGCTTCGAATGGCTTTATACCAGGTCACGGCCGATCCTGAGCTTGCTTTGATGCAAATCACCAAGAAGAAAGTTCGCGGCGGGGTCCTGTTTGATTACACCATCTCAGAGGAAGATGAGGAAACAGTACGACGCAAAGCCGTGGAATATCTCATCGGGGCCCCCAAGCGCGTTCCTCCACCACCATCGATAGACGAGGCGCATAGGCTGATGAACCTCTTTGCTGGCTCTTGTATCAAAAGCAACGACATTCAACCTGGCTACGAAGAGCTTGCTTTCAATGAATTTCCCCGCGGGGTCTCTTGGTCATCTCCTGATGCTCCGCCGCAAGATCGAACCAAGTTTCAAGTCCTAGTGATTGGTGCTGGATTGAGCGGCATTGCTACAGCGATTCAGCTAAAGAAGCTGGGAATTCCCTACACCGTCCTCGACCGTCAAAGCGGGGTCGGTGGCACCTGGCTCTGGAACGACTATCCTGACGCCCGGGTCGACACACTTAGCTATCTATTCCAATACAAGTTTGAGAAAAGATATCAATGGAAGGATTATTTTGCCGCTCGCCCCGAGACCCAGCAATATCTCGAATACGTTGCACAGAAGCATGAAATTCTTGAGGACTTCCAGTTTGACCGCGAAGTAGTCCAGGCTCGCTGGAACGAATCTTCAGCTACCTGGGGTGTGACTGCCATTCATCCGAAGACAGGGGAGACATCCAATTATGTTACCAATTTCATCATCAGCGCTGCCGGCCTCTTCAGCACAGTCAACAAACCTGATTTCCCTGGTATTGATGACTTTAAAGGGCGAATCTTTCATACCACTTGCTGGGACCATACCTTTCCCCTGGATGGGCTGCGTGCCGCCGTGATAGGTACTGGCTCAACTGGCACGCAGCTTACACCAGCTGTGGTTCGTGCTTGTAGCCACGTGTCGGTATTTCAGCGAACGCCTAACTGGATCGCCTCCTACGAAGGATATGATGAGTCGGTTCCGGAAGTCGTTCATTGGCTCTGCGACCACATGCCGTTTTACTGGAACTGGTACTGTTTTGCAGCCTATTTCCGCAGCTTAGACCTGGCAGGTCTGCAGGTCCGCGATGCCGAGTTTGAGGCTTCAGGAGGCCGCGTAAATGAGCGGAACGAGGGTGTACGTGAGACATTGACGAGTTTCATTAAAGAGAAGATGGCGGCTAAGCCAGACTTGATCTCAAAGCTTGTCCCCGAACATGCGCCGCTAGTTCGCCGACTGGTGGTTGATAACGGCTTCTATAACTGCTTGTTGCAAGACCATGTTGATTTGGTCACTGATTCCATCGACCGTATAACTCCCCGCGGTATCCTCACCAAAGATGGCGTGGAGCGAGAATTTGAGGTTATAGTTCTCGGATGCGGATTTAAAACCTCGAAATATTTCTTCCCCACCGAGTATATTGGCCGTGACGGCATTCGACTGGAGGAAACCTGGGCCAAGGATGGAGCCCGGTCATACTTGGGCATGGCCATCCCGGGCTTTCCCAACTTTTTTTCCCTCTACGGCCCAAACCACCAGCCACGTGGAGGAAGCTTATATTCGTGGGCAGAGATTTGGGCGCGGTATGCAGTCTCGAGCGTCGTCAAGCTGATCGAGCAGGGATCCAATGCAATGGACGTTAGGGCGGACATCAATGAGGCATATCAGCTCCGATTGGATGAGGAGAATAGCAAACTGATCTGGGAGTCTGAGGGAGCTGGCTATTATGTTAATGAACACGGCCGTCAAGGAGTCAACATGCCTTGGACAACATCTGTATATCACGAGATGGTGTTGGAGCCGAACATGAACGATTACGTCATCTCTTGATGTGACGCTGGCCCCCAGTATTGGAAACGAACAGTATGTTTGCGATATTTTTCGTCATCGTTCGCTCGGTATGCGTGCTAGAGAGTGCTATATAAAGTTGACTGATCTTCCCTTCCATCATTTCTCGTCCCAGCTCTTGTATCTCGACTAGTTCAATTAAACGCTGATACTTGCGGCATACTTGCATATTGTGTCATGGCAATCTGATAAAGAAGCAAAAATGAGAAAACAGTCATGTATTGGCTAGCCTGAGAGAGCGAGAGCTAAGGCCCTGCACAACCAAGCAGGTCTCAGGCCACAGGCAGCAAAAGAAATCTGTATTCAGCAAAGAATAGAACCCGAGTATTTTATGATAAAAATCAGAAACTCGTTGCTCAGGATTGGATATCCAGCGAATTTTCACTCGCATACTGGATTTAATTTACCTTGTGTGAACGATACTTGTAGCACTCCCACCGACTCAGTAATTCTACTACGGAATATTAGACATAATTTCCGACTGTTTATCAGTCGGCCTTAAACCGAGAGGTAAGAAATCATACAATAGGCAACATTATTAGACCGCCGGACTAAGACTATGTATTGACACTGAAAACATGATCTCAACTAGAATTACGCTGGTTCTTCGCCTCTTCTTGATTATTTAATCCGTATGCCTCCGTACTCGAGTCCATGACACAAGTTCGGCGCATGTCACGACGATATTTTCCCTCGTATCCTCCCGGGGTTGCCCTGTGCAGAACCGCAGTATTATCCCAGATAACTGCTTCGCCATTATTCTGCCATTGGTGGCGCAGAACATATTTCGGCTGAGTTGCATGTTCCATCAGCTCTTTAAGTAACTTCTTGCCTTCCTCAATTGCCAGACCTTCAATGTGATGCGCATATGAGGTAACGTAGAGCATTGGGCGACCAGTAGGCTCGTGGATAGGGACAAGTTTGTGTCTGGCTAATGGCTCATCAAACACACTGCGGCCCTTGAATAGTTCCGAGTCTGGGTTGGCTATCTGACGGTTGTGAAGGAAAGAATGCACTGCAACTAGATCCTTGATCTGAAGCTTTTTTTCCTCTGGTAGATCCTCATAGGCTTGGCGAGTATCTGCAAACTCGGTCTCGCCGCCGGTACCTTTGGGTGGGAGTTCAATAGCACGAAGCATCGAGACATACGTTCGTCGCGGATTGAAGGAACCATCAGCATGCCACAGAGAATTGCCTCTGATAGCTGTAATGCGTTTCTCATTTCCAGGCATCACGATCTCATCGTTCTCATCGAGGTTACTAATGTCGAAAATCTCCGCGAAAGGTAGCGATCGCATATGAGGGCTGCGGAACCGGCTCTTTTCAACCTCTCCGAAGAGTCGAGAAAAATTGACATGGGATTCATCGTCTGGAAGATTGGCATTCGGAATCGCAACCACCCCGTACTGATGAAGTAGGCCGCGAATCCAGTTGAATTCTTGTTCAGACAGCGGTTTCGAGATGTCTAAATCTGGGATTCGGCAGCCAAATTTTGGGTGTACGGGCACAACTTCGTATGGAAAGTCGATACCCTTAGAGGACTCAATGGCTGTGGTCGTGGCTGTAGACATAATACGTGTCTTGTTCCTTTCGAATATCATTGTTTGTACTCGGCTATTGAGTGACGAGATTGTATTGGAATTTAACAAATGTGCAGCGATGAAATTTATTCTCTTTACCCTCTCTCAGCATCCTTAGTGGTGCTAGTTGTCAACAAATCAAGTTGAGGCGCGTCGGAATTTAAAAAGGCACGCCCAAGTCCAATTCCGGATCGGAGAAGCGGAATATCTCAGCGCAATGTCAGATGAGACTGACTATTACGAAATGCCATACAACAGTTCACTTCTTTTTGCTCACTACGTACCAGGGATTAAGGATATTCTCATCTGGCCTCTGTAGACGAGTGACTACCAATTCGGTCTATTAGCAGATTGAGATATACTATGCAGCTCACTCTAGCCGAGGTAGAACACCATAACGATGAAGCCTCATGTTGGGTCATTGTTCATGGTAAAGTGTATGATGTGACACAGTTTCTCAACATGCATCCCGGCGGTGCCTCATCAATTCTGCAATATGCAGGCAAGGTTAGATATCTCACTACATTGATCCCGGGAAGAGTTTAAGATGACACTAACCAGGCTCGCCAGGACGCAACAGAAGAATATGATGCCATTCACACCCCCGGAACAATTGAATCGTCCCTATCACTGGATAAATGTCTTGGAGAACTAGAAAATCAGACAGACCGACCTCCAACCAAACGACAGGAGGAGTGTCCAACTCCAGATGGCAATCAACCAACGGGAACTCCGATACAGCTCATTGCCTGTCTGGATGATTTTGAACTAGCAGCAAAGAAAATATTGAATCAAAGATCATGGATATACTACTCATCTAGTGCCGGATCTATGGAGTCTCACGCTCGCAATCTTGCAGACTGGTCTAAGGTCACATTCCGCCCACGCGTCCTGCGCAATGTTGAGCATGTCAACATGGGGCGTACTATCCTTGGACATCCCAGCAATGCTCCTTTCTTCATCGCTCCTTGTGCACTGGGTCGTCTGGGTCATCCGGATGGTGAGCATAACCTCGTCCGAGGCGCTGCCAAATACAATATCCCGTACACTGTTAGCAATGCCTCTTCAGTTAGCGCTACTGATCTTGCAAAGTCTCTCCGCAAAGAGTCAGGCGGGGGATCACTCTTCTTTCAACTGTACGTCAAGAGAGACCCAGCGGAGACCCGAAAGAGCATTGAGCAAGCCAAGTCGCTTGGATATGGAGCTCTATTAGTGACAGTGGATACCCCGGTTGTGGGTAAACGCGATGCTAGTGATCGATTTGCTAGCCAGCAGGCGCTCCAGGCAAATTCCTCGGAGCTTCCAGTCGCTGGACCCCTGGCTTCTCATGGATCGGGCGTCCCTCGTGGACCCTACTCCTCCACTCTCACTTGGGCGGATCTACAATGGATTGCCCAAGAATGGGGCAATGCTGGGCCACTCTGTCTGAAAGGAATTACAACTGTCGAGGATGCCCGCTTGGCTCTCGACATGGGATATACATCTCTGTATTTGTCTAACCATGGAGGCAGACAACTGGATGGCGCGCCTTCAGCCCTCGAAACTTTGCTAGAAATCAGACAATATGATCCGGAGATTCTCCAACTATGCGAAATCCTCGTTGATGGAGGTATCAGAAAAGGAGGCGACGTACTCAAAGCTCTGGCTTTAGGGGCAAACGCGGTCGGTCTGGGAAGGCCATTTATGTTCGCTCTCAGTACGCATGGAACGGAGGGGGTGTACCGGGCAATTGAGAGTATACTGTCTCAAGTTTCTATTCTACCAAAATTGCTCAGGCTAACTATTATAACCCAGTTTTACTTGACGAGATTCAAACCGATATGCGATTGCTGGGTATCACTGATTTAGCACAATTGGGACCGTCGACTATAAACACGAGAGAACTACAAGGGATCATAACACAACAATTGGGCAATGACATGATTGGTCACAAGCGTTTCGAGAGGGCAAAAATATGAAGGTAGAAGTTAGAATCCAACTACGTATCTAGAATCCAAAACTGGCGATGAAACTCAGACTGTAGGCCAAATCCCTAAACTATTTGATTACTGGTGAAGATTTAAAAATCAATATTCAATGGAACATCATTAATTGCGGATATACGAGTCTCTCGTGATGCTATAGTCAACAATCAAGGGACTGAGGGATCCTCGAACCACAAGTGGGATAGTTCAAGTGAATTCCGGTTCCGAAAATTCCACTCATAGATGCTTCTCCAGCGTCTTCATTCAAAACCATAAAGCCAAACGACAGGTTCAGTTGAAGAAAACATTAGAATCACAAGTACATCTATGTCAGCTTTCAAACCTCAATATTTCTTGCCAAATCAGCTACTGAAATGGCTAGTCAAGCTCCATTGAGTTCTGCCATGGAAGATGTATCTTGCATTATTCCTCCTCCTGACATCTCTCTCGAGTCAATTGGCTCGGCACCTAGCCGCGGGCGATTGCTAGGCAAACGCCTACTCGTTGTTGGCGGTGGTCAGTCCGAGAACAGCTTCGATATCAACCCACCAGTAGGCAACGGGCGAGCCATTTGCATTCTCGCCGCAAGGGAGGGTGCCAGTGTAGTTGTTGCCGATCGTTCTGATTTCGCTGCCCAGGCGACGGTTGATATCATCTTGAAAGAAGGTAAAGGTCATGCCCAGAAGTTGATCGGGGATGCATCTACCCCGGAAGGTTGTGCCCAAATCATTCACGATGTATTGGCCAGCGATGGGGATGTCCTGGATGGCTTGGTGATCGTTGTCGGAGTGGTGGGAGATGGGGAAAGTGTGAAACCGACAGCCATTGCAAGGTCAAGGTATTGGGACCGAGTGATGAACCTCAATCTGCGCGCACATTACTTGCTCATGCATGAAGCCGCCCCCCATATTCAAAAGCGACCCGGTGGTGGCTCTGTAGTCTCGATCAGCTCGATCTCACAGTTCTTAGCTGCATCAAACGAGCCGGCTTACACTGCTTCCAAAGCCGGATTGTCCATGTTGGTGAAAAACTCTGCCTGGCAATTTGCTCCCAGAGTGCGCTTCAACACCGTTGTCCCAGGTCTCATTGACACCCCCATGGGCCGCAAGGCTGGGATGAACATCCAAGGCCGCAATGCTAGTGCAGTACCACTCTCACGACAAGGATCTGGATGGGACATTGCTTATGCAGTTATTTGGCTGTTGAGTGGCGAGAGCTCCTATGTGACTGCACAAGATATTGTTGTTGATGGTGGCCGAGTGGGCCTTCACCGGGGGGCTAAAGTGCCTAATGGGAACACGACAGTCTCCTAAGATTGATTTATTTCTTTTTCTTTGCTATCTCAACTAATCTGTGTCCTTCCTCTTGTGGAAGACGTGGATGCTGAGAACTCATCACAATAGAAAATTCAATCCTATGTTGTCCATACCTAGCTCAGAACGATTCATGCTGGTTTCCCAACCATTTCTTATCCCGGAAATTGTCAGACTCGACCTTAATTGGTGGTGGCTAACTACTTACCTAGTCCATTCCCATTGTTGGGTACATAGCTCGTAGTAACTCCAGCAAGTCATATTTCTCTTAACAACGCGCGTAATATCGCTATCGCAAGCTCGAGGTGTGTGATGGAGCCATTCCGATAAATTCCAGCGCAGGGTTCTTGTACAAATTCCATCTAATTGATTACCTATGAGTGTCTCCTCATTCCGAGAAATCGGTTTTCCGACGCTACATTTGATTTTATCTTTCTCCTTTCCTCAATCTCCAATCAATAAGCTACTATTTATATGCGCCTTGTTGTTTGATGCCGAATTGACTTCACAAGAAACGAGGAAGATAAAGAGAAACAACCACCGGTTTTGCGAAAGATTCACATTCACAATGTTCAACTCTCGGCCCCGGTTCGAGGATTTGCCCTTGCGGGAAGGAGATCCCCCTTGGTCTGCCTGGGGACTTTATGGACCAGATGACGAGTTAGGAACCTTGAACTTACTGAGTGCGCAAACTGTGCTGAAGGCCTCCGAAGAAATTCGCACAGGACGTCGTTTTGGCTTAGACCTTCCAATTGATTATTTAACAGCCCCAAGTCACGGGCGCACAGCGCTTTCACATACTGTTATCTGGAAAGCACCACGTGCGGTACACGATGATGAGATCGCTTTCAATACTCAGGTACGCTCCTTTGCTGTCGAGAGGAGATCGTTCCTTTAACGGGTAAAATTATGCTCAGATCTCGACTCAATGGGACGGGCTGCGCCATATCGGGTATGCTCGTGAGGGTTTATGGTATAACGGGGTGCGCCAACCCCATATATCAGGCGAGGACGGAGAGAGAACAACTACACTGGGAATTCATGGTATGTCTTGCTCTTGTGTCGACTCTCGTCTTAAATCCTGCTTCGTGTTCACGAAATGTCAGCGTGGGCAAAGCAGGGTATCGTTGGTCGGGGCGTTTTGGTCGACTACTATCACTGGCGGATGAAACAACATAAACCGTTTGACACACAAGTAGCCCATGAAATCACCCTGGATGAAATCATCGCTTGTGCCAAAGACCAAAATCTCGAGTTTCAACCCGGGGACATCCTTTTTATTCGATCGGGCTGGCGGGTGGGATATGAGCGGCGGACCGTCGAGGAAAAGCTGCAATGGTCGACTGACTCTCCAACTTGGATAGGAGTTGAGGCTTCGCTTCGGATGGTGAAATGGTTGTGGAATACTGGCTTCAGTGCGTGTGCCGGCGATGCTCCCGCCTGGGAGTGTTTACTCAACGGTCAACCGCCGGTACCTGACGAGGCCATGAAAGGATACATTAGCCACGAGATCATGATTGCAGGATGGGGAATGCCCATTGGTAAGTGACATAATAACATTCAATCCACTGTCCTTACTAACCGCCTATAGGTGAGTATTTCGATCTTGAGGAACTGAGCGCCGAGTGTCATCGTCAATCTCGGTATTCCTTCTTCTTTTCTAGCTCACCATTGTGTATACGCGGAGGGGTAGCAAGTCCGCCCAATGCAGTAGCCATATTTTAATGGCAGAAATGAAGACTGATGATAGGTCCTTGGCCTCTCACAGTGGTCCGACTGCGTCAAAGCTGGCAGTTAATGTCTGGCAGCAAATAGATCTGTCTCCCCAGTAAATCAACTTGAAGGTGACCCCGCCAGTTGAAGAAATTATCCACGAAAGGGAGAAATAAATGGGTATGTATGTATTGGTTTTATTGGACAAAGAGAGACGGAGAAGGGAAGAAGAGTAGAGCTCTGCCTCCCCCTGGACTATCTACGCCTTCGGGGGGCGGTATGTGGCTTAAAGCACCGGCTCGACATAAAGCCTTTGGAGATTTGTTGGGGTCACGTGACACGTACACCCATCAGTAACTTAAGTTACCCGAAGATATTATATAAGCAAATTAAACCGCTAACGTATTTCACATGCGAGTGGATCACACAACCGAGTGGATCAGCGACGCGAAAAACGCGTCATTAATTAGACCTTCCTTCTTTCACCACCCACCATGCCACCAATTCGTACTCAATCCTCTCGAAATTTAGTAGAGTAGGAGGGGAGCCTCCGATCTTATTAGCTATCTAGGCTATTAAGAAGCAAGAACTTAGCTCTATACGCGAAGTATCACGTTATTTTGAAGTACCCTTCTCTTTACGGAACTAGCTTAATAGCCTCACAAATCGCTCCAAAACTCGCCCAAATTGCTAGAAATTGATAGAAATTGAGGAGGAATCTCTTTAAAAATAGATTCTCTCTATAGATTCTCGCGGAGTACCCCCTCAGCCCTCTTCTATACGAGAAATAGTAGATTTATTGCTCGCGGCACGTGGATCTACCCCGGTTATTTCGGTCGGTAAGAATTAGGTTACAAACTTCGTAAAAAGGTATCTAAACCTTTCCTCTAGATTCTCAAAAGGATATAATTACGAGCGTGTAGAGTGCGAAGACCCTAAAATTATCTATGAATGGTTTTCTCTCGTCTAAAAAACGATCCTTTCTTATTGTCAGGACCTCGACCTGACAGGTGCCTGAGGGTGCCTGAAAGTATACTGCGAGCCTTTGGGCTGCGCAGTGTGCAGATAGATAGGCGCATGCATGGACCATGATGGTCGTGCATTTCGCCTAGTCTCTTAGCTAAGCGCACTGTATTTATTGCACTCGCTGGCCTTCGCATGAAGGACCAGCAATTAGTCTCTTATTGCACCTGCATATACACTTCGACGATAGTCTCTACTTCCCGTACTCATACTGCTACACTAGGACCTCGCAGGGTCCTAACACTTATAGTATCGATCCCGATAATATCTATAACTTTAACGAGACTAGATTCGCAATAGGCTTAATCGTAACCACGAAGGTTATTACGAGGAGGGAATACTATAGTTAGCGATCGCTTTTATAGCTCGGAAATCGCGCGTAGGTAACTATAATTAAGTGTATAAATACTTTAGGGTAGGCGCTTCCTCTATACGTGATTTTTAAGGGTAAAATCTTTATCGAATCTTAGTTCGATAGCCTTCCGAATAATTAGAGACTCGAGGTTAGTCTAAATAGGTAGACGTCCGATAAAATTAGCGTTTAGTAGCTTAAAAAGCTCTTTATTCCGTCTACTTCTTCGCGTATAAAGGGGAAGTATAGACTTTTAATACTCGACGGCTATAGAAGTTATTTAACCCTAAAATTTGACGAAATTTACGAAAAGTAACAATATTATTCTAATTTATATACCTCCGTATTCGTCTTACCTTTTATAGCCTCTCGATATTAGCTATTTTGTGGTATTAAAATATACTTACGCTTAGCTTATCGAATCAAAAACGCGTGCTAGAATTAACTATATTAATAAGCTAGACTTCCTTAAAGCCTACCTATCCGCGCGAATTAAGGTATTTAAATTAGAGACTATTAATAATAGCTTCGCCGCCGCTAGTTTAATACCTTATAGTCCCAATTAAGTGATCTTAAAGCTTAATATTCGCCTTCGAACCCTAACACCCCCCTTAAGCTAGGGGAGTGAGTAAGATCTAAAAACGCCTTCAAACTACGTATAATTATAAAAGTAAGCTTCCTTAATTAAAGCTTTGCTATAATAGTGCTTATAAAGCCTACCGAGCCCGCTTAACTCCGCGATAAATTAGATTTTAAAGGCCTACTAAATTACGATATAATCGGTAGCTTTACTTAAGAAAGAAGTAAGCGAATTACGCGCTATAAATAAGATAGAGAAGCGAAAAAGGACTCGGTCTAAAAGATAAATAGCTTCCGAAGAAGGCCTCTTAGTTTTAGAGGCCTCTACATTAGCAATATAGCCGGAGCAAGTAATTATAGCACTAATACCCCGTGAGGTAGAATCAGCTCTAGCACCTTCACAGCCACGTACGAGGGCCTTACCAAAGTGCAGTATATATAGAATTCAGGGTCATAAATTAACTACATGTCCTAATAGAAATCGTTTTCAGCTTATTGAATTTAATGGCGTTTTGGTTGAGATAAATGCATTTAAAATTGGGAGGTAGGGATAGCTGATCCACTCGGTTATGTGATCCACTCGCATGTGAAATACGTTAGTTAGACCATGTATATCTAGCTCCTTTCTCTCTCCCGTTCCGTTCCTCTTCTCTCTTCGTCTGTCTCACTGTGAATAGCTTCATACATACAGTTTCTTCATATATTCATTCATTCCTGTATTCCGCTATTCCATGAAGATATCATGTGTTTGGAGATTCTCTTCAATCTACCCACCCACCCAATAAGACTTTATTAATACTATGGTACGGGAGGTGGCTCTGGAATGGAGATATAAGAGTCTCCGGCGAAGAGATGGAAGTTGCTCACAAATGGGATAAAGGGTGACATTACAAAGAAGTTGCAAAGCAGAATGATCTGTTAGATTTTCCGAAGATTGCTTAAATGTGATGAAGGGAGGATGCTATATTCCGAGGTTTGTTTCCCGGCGCCTCTTCAAGTCCGCCAGTTGGCTTCAGAGTCTAAAAATAGTATTGTGTTAAATAGGAATTCCTATCATCTTGACCTTATATTCCCTTTACTTCATAACTCTTCAGTATATCTATAGTGTATAATCTCAGTTTCAATGTTCGTAGGCTCCAAATTGAAGTATCAGCGTGCAAACTATCGACTCAACACAATAAATGAGGGTACATATTGTTAGGTACTATCAGTTTCTACAATGCGAGTTTGAGTAGGCGAAACTCGGACATAGCTATCTGGCTATCATAAAAAATCATATTACATGCGACTCGACCATACCGGTTGCTCAGCGATTCCGCAAGCCCCCATGGGCAGAAAGTGTCGTTCCAGTCACGAAACTGCTTCTACCCGAGGTCAGGAAAGAGACGCAATGGGCCATTTCCGACGGTTGTCCTACACGACCCAGTGCGATGTCCTTGGTGCGTTCTTCGATTCGTTTCGCCCCTGCTTCGCCTTGCGGCAAATCACCCAGGATTGGAGTTTCAATGGTCCTTTGTGGCGTGTTAAGATACAATCATGACTGGTCAGGGGAGGAGAGGGCCATGTTTCACAGAACTTACCCTGGACATAGTGCATTTACTCGAATCCCCCGAGCTGCAAATTTGACACCATCCTATATTGAGCACGATCAGCATCGCATTTCCTCACTCAGTCAGGTAATTACTAGGTTAAAGATACCGATCGCGACAGACCAACAACTCCATGCTTAGCCGCGACGTACGCGGGAAGATCACCGTTACCCATCATGCCGGCTTCTGATGATATGTTGCAAATGGCACCGCGAGAAGGAAATGGTGAATCCCTGGAACAGAATTGTCAGTCTCAGTAAATAAAAGTTCTGATCTTGTGAAGAGGGCTCCATGCCTTGCAGCCAACGGCTCCTGGTGCAACATCTGGTTAATCTGAGCCTTTGTGCAGAGAAAGATCCCTCGCAAGTTGACTTGGTATACGAGGTCAAAATCCTCTATGGGTAACACAGTCGTATCCCCAAAGCGGATGATGCCTGCCACATTAGCACAGTAGTCAATCCGACCGAAGGTCTTTACTGCCTCCTGGACCATTGTCTCAACGGAAGCTTGATCGCGGACATCCACCGCAATTCTCTTGATCTCAACCCCCTGATACTGTTGCTTGATCAGCATTTCAACCTCCATGAGGTCATCAAAGTTGATGTCTGCAATGACTATCCGTTGACAGTCGTCTGCCGCGTACTGAAGTGCAGTTGCCTTTCCGATACCTATATTTGTCAAATGATCGCCTTTTAGATATTTAATCGGGAAAATGCTGCATTTTTCCTTACCGGATGCGGCGCCAGTCACCAAAGCCACGCCTGGAAAGTTCATCATATTGATAGACACGTTACCAGTTGCTCGACTGTTATGCGGGGTGGTGTGTAAATGAATTTCTTTTCTTGATACGATAATATCACAGGCTTGGCATTCGAAAAGATAAGTGAGATTCTTTTCAGTCTCAAGTATATTTCTTGAAAATAAGGTCAAATCAAATTATGGAAACAGCAATAAGAAATCTAGAGGCTGAGGTGCAGGTGTTCCGGTGTATGCACATTCCGACGCCGAATGCTCACACCGACTGCACATATATATTAGTGGTTTTGAGAGATCAGCCGCACTATCTGCACCTTTACGGATAGTCACATATCGTTCGAGAATAAACAGAAATTATATCCATTTTGAGTTTAAATCATTGGAACAATTACACATCATGGAACAGAGGGTATTTATTGGGATGATACCACTCCACTGCCAATAGACCGGAACAATCCAGTTCGGGCACAAAATAACGCCAAATCTGTTAGTCGAGAAAAGTGTTCTGATGCTTAGAAAGGTGGTTGCATAACGGCTGCATAAACCGGAATCCGGGAATATATGGAGGCTATTCCGAAAATCACACTTCAAGTACTGCAGGCCCCACATCCGAGCTCACATTTGAAGAGTAGTCAGGACGCACCTCCTGCCGCGACCGGGATTCGTGGAGATCACGACGGAGAGGAAACAAATTGAACACGCGACGGGATAGGCCCTACTGGCTTTCCAGCCAACAATCTAACGGACTTTCACAATGGACTCTTTGTATCGCAAACCTAGGCGTGGAACGGTGGCATGCACCGTCTGCCGGGCCCGCAAAGTGCGATGTGACGTTTCCAGGGGAGGTGCTCCATGTACCAACTGTGCCCTTGATGCAAGGGACTGCTACGTCATATCGAAGCCTTTAGTGTGAGTGATCGCCCCCTTTCACCGGCCCTTGATGCAAAATTGAGGGCGACTTTTAACAGGCAGCAGCCACAGCCAAAATAACAAGCGAATTTTGAAGACATTCAAACCGCGATCGTCAGTGCCAGAGAAGGAAACAGTTTGTCCGCCACGCAGCCCTATCACATCGGGTGAAAATAGCGACTATTCTCTCAGCATAAACAGCCCAGAGACCAATATTGACCCGACCCCTCCAACTCTTCAGCAGCTGCTTCTGGATAGGCCATCGGAGAGTCTAGATAGTGAGTCCGAGCAGTCGGACACACTTGACACTTTCTTTTCAACATATGGATTTATTCGCACGGACTTCATGTTGAGACTGCCCCAAGAAGATATTCGATATCTTGAAACTCAAAAATGTCTTCGGCTTCCCGGCAAGCCAATTTTTGATGAGTTCATGCGCAACTACTTTTTCCACGTCCATCCACTTTTGCCACTGCTCAATGAATCAAAAATCTGGGAGATGTGTAAAGCACAGCAGCCTTCCACGCCCCATGCACCGGTCAGCAGCCTATCGCTATTTACACTACAGGCAATTTTATTTGCAACTTGTAGCTTTGTCACTCCCAAGAGTCTTCGCATGGTTGGCTTCAAGAGTGTCCAGCATGCCCATGAGAGGCTTTACCGACACTGCCAAGTAAGCGCTACCTGTATCACAGCTTAACTACACTGCATAGCATCTCGCTAACATCAATAAGTTACTCTATGCGCTTCAGACAGATATAGACCCGATTTCAACGAGTCAAGGTTGTCTTCTTCTGTCTATCGGATCCTTCAATAACACAGGAATATGTCCGCAGACACTCTGGCTTAGCACAGCAGTTCAGCATGCGCGCTGGGCCGGAGCTCATGACTATACTAACCAGAAGTATCTAGAACTTGGAAAAAGCCAAGATCTCAAGCGACTGTGGTGGTCATGTATAATTCGGGATCGAATATTGGCCCTAGGCATGAGGCGTCCAATACAAATTACCAAGCAAAGCTTCAACTTTTGCACGGAAAGGCTCACGGTAGATGATATGATGGACGAGATTGAAGGATCCAAGGTCCATCGAAAAGAAATAAAGCTGGTTCTGATACAGATACTAATTTCGGTATGTGAGCTCTGTTGCTTGCTCACAGACCCATTGGATATGCTTTTCCCTGCTGCAGGGACATCGCTAAATACATTTGGCAAGTGCTCTTGGGGACCAAAGCAAGTTCAGATGTTTGTTCGAAGTCTAAAAAGATGGCATAGGGCGCTGGAGATGCGTTATGCTAGTTACGACGCCGATCACACGTCCAATACCTCCCTAGTCCTTTCCCGATTCCTGATTGAGTCATACTATAGGTAATACAACTATGACCTATCGCCGAACACGACCAGTGATTAACAGAGGCTGCAGATCATCTCTAATTGCTCTTTCCCATTATGAAATTGCCTGTCTTACCGCCTTGTACGACATGAGGCCCTTTGAGGGTTCTAGTATTGAATCTTGTGAAGGCGAGCTTCGGGCAGTTATGGAGCAGACATATGAGGGAATAATGCAGTTGAGGAGCCTCAGCTTGTTGAAAAGTCTGTCGACTATAGCGTAAGCACAGAACACGCTCATATCAAACTGATAGCAGCTAAATCTGGTGCCCAAATTGCAGTATCCCATTCTTGATTGTGCCTCTAACGCTTCTACTTTTGGACACAAAGCTGGAGAGTGCACGTGGTCATTCCTCGTCAGACACGTCTGTGCAGTTTGAAAATATCCTGGCAATCATAGCAGACTGCTGGTCCTTATCTTATCCCAAAACCAGATCCATTTTGCAAATGACCCAACAGGTCACCACAGAAGCATTTGACGCCATATCCTTTACAACAATCCAAGACTGGGCAGACGTTTTGATTTACCACCCAGGTGTATATTCCAGAATGATGTCAAGTGTTGATTCTTTTCTGGCAAAAGGAGAGTCATCGAAAGTCATCAGTCAACCTCCAAGTGTGTCTAGTCTCAATGCTGCGGTGTCTCCTGGGCCATCCTCTACGGAGAGCGACATGCTGGGCCAACAACCCTATACAATGAGTCTCCCGAGCTTAATCGACTCGCCTTCCCAATTTGTGGATACCAATGCCATTGAACTGTTCCCGAAAGGAGAGACAGCAGAACTTTCGCAAAAGAATATCTATTCCGAATTCGGGATACGAAGCGAATATTTCATATCAAGTAACAGTCCTGAAGCTGAATCTGATGACTTTGAAGAGCTCCTACGGACTTTGCTGGGCTCTCTAATTCACGGAACTTCCATTTGATTCAGGGCGTCGATATGGCACTGATGACCAGGATACATACCTCGATTCTCGCGAGCGTTTTTATTCTGTAGCTATTAGACAAATCAAACACAGAGATGTATGGATACGTATCGACGAAAGAGAGAGAGAAAAAAATACGTAGCATTGTTTCTATCAAGAGAGACCAAGAGGGAAGAAGACGAGAACGAAGAAGAAAGGCTCGTCTTCCCCCGTAACTATCTACGCTACCATAGGCGGTCTGCCAACTAGGGTATGTACGGCCTCGACAATATGGTTTTTGATCTGTTCTCAATTCAGAATTCTGGTACAGGTCATATATTGTACAAACCAGAAATACTGACAACCTGGCCTCTGAATTGTGTTCTTTGGTGACAGGCGAAGGGAATTATCTTCATTTCCAGCATACAGCGCTTGGTTCGGAAAAGCGGAGACTTCCGGTTTCCGTACGTGCGTCCCTGGAAACCGGGCCATTTCGCAAGGTCACCCATGCTTGGCTATTCATATTTGAAAGGGTATCATATGATGGATAAGAGGAAAAGATATCTCAAATTCAATTGCAAGAAGTTTAGTAAAATCTGACCGAATGGATTCCAAGCTATTCACGATATCGGATTGCCCGACTGGGCTCTTCCTTAATAACGAGGTAATTTGAGCCTTACTTGATAAGATATGAATCGTTTTGCTGAACAAATTATTACTATAGTGGATTCAAGGGAACGGGGAACCATTATCTTTTAAAAGTTCCTGGAAAGAAGAAGTTCTTGAGCTTCCACCTTTGCATACGGCAACTACGGAAGATGTTGACATTGCTGTCTTAAATGCCCAAGCAGCATTCAAAGGAGAATGGAGTAAATACACCGGGGAAAAGCGAGGAATCTTGCTGCACAAATTGGCCGATTTGGTCTTGGAGCATACAGACCAACTGGCATATTTTGAAAGCCTTTGCAGTGGAATCCCAGTATCATTCATCAAACGAGGAATACCAAGCATGGCCTCAGTCTTCCGCTGTAAGTCATTGACCGAAATGAATTGCCCATTTACCTTGTTGACCGGTCTTCAGATTATGCGGGATGGGCCGATAAATACAAAGGGGATTTTTTCCCGCCCACAGACGGATTTTACAAAATTGTTGAGCATGAGCCAATCGGTGTTTGCGCTGGTATCACTGCTTGGAATGCATCTCTGCAGTTCCTGGCGTGGAAGTCTGCTCCTGCTCTGGCGACCGGCAACACAATCATCCTGAAGCCCTCAGAGAAGTCGCCGCTAGGTACGCTCGTGGTTGGTTATCTGATCAGCAAGGCTGGTTTCCCGCCAGGGGTGGTGCAAATCGTCGTGGGTTCGTACCCAATATTCCGGCTATCTTTTGGTCATTTGCTAACTGTGCATCAGGTGGAGGTCCCACTGGTCACTTGCTATCCAGCCATATGAATATTCAAAAGGTTTCCTTCACCGGATCCACTGTGACTGGTCGCAAGATCCAAGATGCAGCAACTAAAAGCAATCTTAAACGTGTTACCTTGGAACTCGGCGGGAAAAGCCCGGGCATCGTTTTTGATGATGCCGACATGGAGAAGACCCTGTTTTGGTGTACGTTTGGGATTACTGGAAATACCGGCCAAGTTTGTGCGGCAACCTCTCGTCTGTTTGTTCATGAGTCCATCGCCGAGGAGTTTGTAAGCGCCTTGAAAACTCGGTTCAAAGCAATTGCAGCGGGTATGGGAGGTGATCCATTAGATTCTGATACAACATATGGCCCGATCATTGATGAAATGCAATACCAGCGTGTTTGCGAGTTTGTTGAAGAGGCTAAAGCCGATCTTAGTCCTGAGGTTGGAGGCGACAGCTACGCAGGAAGTGGATATTTTGTCGCACCAACGATATTCCTCAATCCCCCAGATAATGCGAAGATATATCGTGAGGAGGTCTTCGGCCCGGTTCTGTGTGTTAAGACATTCAAAACAGAGGATGAAGCTCTGACTCTTGCCAACGATACGGACTATGGCTTGGCAGGTACGGTTTTTTACCCTCTTAAACTATTGTCCGAACTCTTTCATTTGACTAACCCATATGTAGGATCTGTCTACACCCAGGATCTCAAGAGAGCTTTGCGTGTCAGTCGCGCAATTCGTGGAGGCACAGTCGGTGTTAATTGCGCCTCGGTCGTCGGTCCCCAGGTGCCTATGGGTGGGTTCAAGTTGAGTGGCGTTGGAAGGGAGATGGGCGAATATGCTCTCAGGCATTATACAGAGCCAAAATCTATCTGGATCAGGTATGTCTAAGCCCCGCAGTATCAGGAATCATAACCTCTAACAGCAGTACTAGCGCCGCCTGGTGAGATTCGTAGCGAAGGCTTACCACCACACTCTCTTCGATAGTAGTTGATTAAGACTAATATTGCCAAATTGCCATAGTCAAAATAAGAAATCGTTGTTCTTCCATCTTTTCGTCCTGATCCCGTGTGTTATTTTCATGCTGCTTCTGTAACTAGACCCAGCCAAAACTAATTCAACACTCTGATCAAGGCCACCGGAACAAGATATGTTTTGTGCTATAGTTTACGGAATCAAGCTTGAAACAACTGGCCGACTGAGAAGACTTACTGAAGTCGATTATTCGTTTGTTCTGATTGCGTGATATATTGCTATGGGTATGAATCATAGGCTAAATATATAAAGAGTTCATAGTTTTCCAAAATCGAGGCCAATGGTCACTCTACTCGACGTAATTGATGCCTTGTTCCCGATTCATAATAGTTATATCGAGGTGAGTTGACTAATGCCCCCAGACAGATGTTGAATAGAACCATCGATTAAATTAGGACTTCTGATGGTACAAGGTACGCATATACTCAAGACTGGCTACCATCTGCTTTTCTTCAAGTATAGTCCCATCCGCAAAGGTAAATCGAGCCTCGCAATCTGCGACAAACTGGTGAACCAGTAGGGTGCCGCCACGACGGATCCACGTATAATAAGCCCGTCCGTATGCTGTCACAACCGCCTCAAGTCTGCCTTTGGCTGTGGTTGCCCGCAGCCGCCATTTGCGGGGGTTCATTTGGTTAGTCTTGGGATCCAACCAATGCTCGGCTTCCGTGATAGAGACATCCTCCCCAACACTTGCCAAAGTCTCGCCGTCAATGTTCAGCATGAATGTGGAGGATTGCGATACGTCGCGAGTGAGGGTATAGAACGAAAAAGATTTGCCCCAGCCATGGAGCCAATTTGACCCGCGACCGGCCATGGAAGATAGTCGATCGGGAACTAGCCCACCCATGACAATTCGCTCATGGACTCCATGCCCGTCAGAGATGGTATAAAGTTTGTCCTGGACAGTGACGGTACCCGTGGCTCGGCAGTGAACAACGAATCCGGCAATGCCTTCGTCATTCTTGATATTGCTGAATTCACCACAGTGATAAAAGGCTTGGCCTCGTTGCGAGAAATGGAGGTCGACGAGAACACCAGCATGTCCACCCTTGACATGCCAATTTGGTGGTTGAGATTCGAAAACCCGACCGTTCAAAGACCACGACACCTTTGATTCCGAACTGGTGAAGCCCATGGTACCCACTTCATTATAGTCGTCGATATTCTGTCCTTTGTTGATGAAAGGAGCATCATGCATTGTCTTTTTCTCCTCGTCGGTAAAGGCAACCTTCACGAGCAGGGTTTGGCAGACCTCGTTGTCAATTATGACAGCTTCTCCCAGTTGTCGGTACATGAACATCCAGAGGTGGATATCATGACCCTCGTCTGATCTTGCCCGGAGAACGAATCCCATATCGTTGAACAAATCCTTTTCATAATTTTCTGGAATGATAGGATTCTGATCCGCTAAGACCGTTGGCCCACAAGTAGAGGCCATGATGCTTTTGTCGGCCATGATGAATTTCGAGTAGCAGCGTAAACAAGAGCCTAAAGTTTTTCTGACAGAAAGCGAATGATATGTTTTAAAATAATTACCTGTTCGGAACAAGCTACTCCCCTCCGTTCAAATAACTGTATCATTTTCCGGTATAATTCCGACATCCAACGGGAGCGAGTTGGATACATGTTCATCCTGATTTTATCCTTTCCCCGCATTCCATAGTCCCGGGAGTGTGCACTCTGCAATCGAGATTATTTCCTTTGTTTCTGTGATATTGCTTTTGATAAATGCTTGCCATCCTCTCAAACTATCTCGGTTTTTTTTTTTTCATCTGGAAGAAAAAAAAAAAGTCACTTTGTGATTCTTATACATACTTTAATTTGCCGCATAACTTGAGATTTCCTGACTATGGCACCAGAAACCATGAAAGCGGCCTTATGCAAAGAGGAAGGTGACAACCTGAGCGTTTGGATGCCAGACAAACTAACTGTCATCGATTATAGATCGGGGGCGCGATCATAGTGGAAGATGTCGATGTACCCAAGCCTGGTTCGCGAGAGGTACTGATCAAGCTAGCAGCCGCCTCTCTCTGCAGCACCGATCTGAGTGTGATGGACGGAATGTTTGGACCAAAATGTCTTCCAGTCATTCTGGGCCATGAGGCAGTTGGAGTAGTTGCAGAGTTGGGGCCAGAAAGTGAGAGTTATGGCTTAAAGGTTGGGCAGCTCGTAGGGGCACCACCCTATACGGGAATGTGCTTGGAATGTCACAACTGTAAGAAATTTGGGCCGGATCACTGCTCTGCTAAGAAGGTCAAAGGAATCAATGCTCCCGGATACTTCTCTGAGTACAGCCTGATCGATGCGGCCAGTGCCGTGATTGTCGCTGACGATGCGACACGGGTTGATGATGTCGGGCGGATTTCTCCGATCTTTTGTGCCGGTGTAACTGTTTGGGACGCCCTTGAGCGCGCACAGATTGAGCCAGGGCAATCACTGGCAATCCTCGGACTTGGTGGACTTGGTCAATTGTGTGCAAGATACGCCACCGCCCTGGGAGCAAAGGTGTTCGCTCTTGACATCCAGGACGCGCAGCTGAATGAAGTCCGCAACACTGTACATGAGGTCATCAATATGAAAGACCTCTCGCCTGCCGAGGTCGATGCGAAGATGAAACAAGTCAACAATGAGCGTGGGGCCGAAGTTGCAATCGTGACTGCTGGGTCGTCTATGGCATATCAAATGGCTCTCAGCATTCTTGAACCACTGGGAAGAATTGTGGTGGTTGGCCTCCCGAAAGAGCCGCTCTCGATCTCTGCTGGCCAAATGTCTGCGAATTGTACCAAGTAAGTTAACATCATCCGGTCGCAAGAAAGTGTGCTGAAACGCAAGTAAAAGAATTGTAGGCGCGAGAATTCCTGGCCAAGCAGGGTCGAAGCGATGCCTTGACTTTTCGCTCAGACAGGGCATTCTGCCCTCAGTAAATCAACGCCAGTTCAAGCTGGAGGACCTCAACGAGATGGTATCCCTCATGCGAGAAGGGAACGTGGCCGAGGGGAGAATGGTTGTTCGCTTTGAATAGAGTAATGCCATTTTGTCATATTTGCGCATATTATTGGGGACCTTGAGGCCTTCCAGCTTCAAGCAGGGATATACCTCACTGTTCTTCCACTTGGGCAATTATTTTCATTAGGGTTTTCTATAAATTATGATCGTCTTTCATGCCTGCATGCCTTTCATTCATGTATGCATTACATGAAGCCGTTTGTCGCGCTCTCTCAAGCTGCGATGTATGTCGCACCATAGTGGCCTTTCTCTGAAGAATCAATCAATTTACCTTTCTCGATTCCTTCCTCCCTGCTAGTAACCAGTACATCAAATTATCTCAACCAACCTAACACAACTGAGGTCATAATTGCTTTTTGTTCCTCTCTCTCATAATGTCGTCACCCCCAATTCCCCCGTTTGTTATAACCTGGTGATGTTTGAATGTAGGGATACGCGTATAATCTCCCGAACCCCGGGTTTAACACTGTTGCCAAGGTTTCCCGCAGAGATATTCTCCAAAACCAAGAAGATATTATCGGATGAGCGGGCTCTGTGATCCCATCATTTCGATATTCTTCGGCTCAATGGACGCTTCTCGGAATCCAAAATCTGGTGGCGCGCGGTGGCCGCTCAAATAATCGTTGGGATGTTGCTCCGACGAGCGGAATAGCTCCTCTACATCATCGAGGAAGCAGCCTGGGCCCATGAAAAGTTTTGTTGGACAGTCACATGCAAGAAAAAACGACGCTAGAAAAACGTGTACGAATGAGCGCTAATGAGCTGGATGGAGGAGTCATCATCTTTGAGCGCCCAATTTACTATTGCTGGAAGTCCCCGGAATTACCTTGAGAGTTCAGTCCCACACCAATCTAGCTCATGTGGGGTTGCTAAATTTCCCCGGAATTCCAGTGCCCCATAGGCGAGCCTGCATTGGCTTATCTTGTCCGTTGTTGAGATACAATTATCAGTCTTTGGTCCGCTTATTCGTATTGTTACCGAGTTTTCGACTCGTTTTACTCAAAACACTCTTTCTGAACATCTTGACTATACCCCGAGTCAGGGCCTGGGATCAAAATGTCTTTGCAAACCCCAAATCAGAATGTCTTTGGTCCTGCAGAGGCTGAAAAGCAAGACATAGAGCATGTCGACGTCCTAGAGGATACGCCCTCTTCTTCGACTGCTACCGATCCTCCCATGGAAGAAAAGTTTGTCTGGAGCTACGATATCATCACAAACCTGATAGCCCTGAATACTGTCTACTTTGCGGCTTCGTGGGCTCTCGTTGTGCCCACTTCTGCAATTGGCTTCATTGCTCGCGTGTTTCCCGAGCAAGCCAGCGATTCAGCTTGGATTGCCGCCGCGGTCACCATCCCTAACTGCGTTTTGCAGGCATTTATGGGCGATCTTTCGGACATCTTGGACCGTCGCTGGTTCCTCCTCGTCGGTGCGCTTTTTGGGCTCTGCGGAAATCTCATTTCTGGGCGGGCATCGACAATGGGCATGGTTCTTGCCGGCCAGGTTTTGAATGGAGTTGGAGTGACGCTGGACTATCTAGCCATTCCACTTTCGGCCGAGGCGGTTGCGAAGAAGGATCGACCGGTGGTGAGTGCTATATCCATCGTCGTTGCAGGAGTTGCCACTGTGATCGGCCCATTGGTCCAGGGAGAGTTTATCAAGCATGATATTGGTGGCGCGGACAATGGTTGGCGGGGTGGATTTTACTTCGGTGCTGGCTTCTACGCCATGGCCTTTGCCCTCGTCTTCTGGCTCTATCACCCTCAGTCTCGTCCTAACCCCGAGAACCTTTCTAAGGTGAGCCGCGTGTTGAAAATAGACTGGTCAGGCGTTTTCCTTGTGACGGCCGGCTTATGTCTGTTCCTCGTTGCTCTCCACTACGGCGACAATCCCGACCCATGGGACTCTGCCAAGGTGCTGGCTACTTTGATAGTGGGCATTGTGTGCCTTTTGGCATTCGGCGTCTGGGAGTGGAAGGGCACATCTGTCGGACTCCTCCGGCACGATCTCTTCGAGCATCGAAACTACACTGTCACTCTACTAGCCTCGTTTACGAGTGGTATGGTCTTCTTTGGTGGCCAAGCATACATTCCCCAAGAAGTCTTATACATTTTCAGCAATGATCCAGTCATGACCTCCGTCTGGACTTACCCCTACAATGTGGCATGCATCTTCGGGGCCGCTTCCAGCGGCATTTATATGTCCTGGACTAAGGAGGCTAAAGGGCTGATGATAGGCTCCTTCGCCGGTTTGACTTTGAGCTCGGGTCTTATGGCAATTATTCACCCGGGCATCAACTTCGCTGGGTGGTTCTTCCCGACTGCTATCATGGGATTTGCCGTCGGTGTCCAGGTTGCCACAAGTATTGTAGTAGTTGGCCTCTGCACCCCAGATCGCTTTATCGGGCTCGCTATTAGCATGGCCGGCGCAATCCGCGCTCTAGGCGGAAGCGTGGGAGTCACTATATTTAGTACTATATTCTCATCGAAACTTGACAGCTACCTTCCAGAAAAGGTCACCAAGGTTCTTGTTGCAGCTAAAATGGAACCAACCACGATCTCAGAGCTTTTCCCAGGTATTCTGCAGGCTATTTCCGCTGGCAGTGCAGATGCTCTCGTGCAAATACCCGGAATTTCGTCAAAGACCGCAGATCTAATTCAGGCCGCAGCGGCAGAGGCGTATTCCGACAGCTTTCGCTTTATCTGGTATACACTGATTCCTTTTGGGGCTGTGTCTATGGTCATTTCGGCTTTCCTTAAATCGACAAAGAAGCAGATGACTAGCGTCGTTGCGGCTGGGGTGCAGCGCAGGCATTGAATTTGTGACGGTCTCGATTTTTACAATCACTCTCTATGATCACGTACCCAGCGCGCAATATTAGCAATATATCTCCGCTAGTTTCAATATTACAATCACGCTCTTAAATTGTTTCTGACTATGCTAAAAAATAAACGTATTCTGCTTGATTCGTGCCTACAGGCCTGTATTGTCCTTATTGTTTAAACAGACATTTATTTCTACAATAAGCTTGTTGCATGAGGTGAAAAAAATGATGAACAGATTTGTAATACCGCAAGTAGACACAGGCAGTGGATACGAATGTTCAACAATGGCTCATCTTTGCCTCCTCTCCTGCTATGATATCTATTCACTCAAGCTAAATACGTTAGATATATGAGATTGATAGCATGGTTGGCGGTTTCAAATCCCAGGCTACCAAAGCTAACCTTGGAATGATAACTACTTTTGAGGTTATCTCTTAGTTAAATCATTTTAGCTGTTCATCTCATTGATGGTAAAGCCGCTATATTATCCATCGTGTCAGTTTAACTCAACTAAAAGCGTGGGAAGAAGGGTAAAACTGACTTATCAAGTACTAGATTGTGACCATTAAGGAGACTCATCCCCGGCGTGCTGATTAACACCACTGCATCACCAATCTCATCAAAGGTCGCACGGCGGCCTTGCCGAGCCTCTAGCTCTCTCCACATTGCCAGCCCTGCTTCACCTGCCTTTCCGATGCTTTCTGAGATAAGTTTGGTGTAGAGGAAACCAGGAGCAACTGAATTGACCCGAATATCATTTTTGCGTCCCTCTAGAGCAGCCTAAAACATGAGGAAAAAGAGAACTATCAGTTAAACATGAGCGATTCTGGATCTAACGATGACACTTACTACCTTGGTCAGGCCAACAACTGCATGCTTAGAGGTTGTATAGGAGACAGAATATGGCGAAGCCACGATTGAGTTGACTGAGGCGCAGTTCACAATTGATCCACGCTGTGGAGCCCTTTCGACCATACTGTGCACACCCGATCAGATTCTGAGAAATGTTGTGTTTAGAAGAACATACCTAGGTGTTGGCTCCTGCTTGAGCATCTGTTTAATCTGGTATTTGGTACACAGATACGATCCAGTCACGTTGACGTCGATCACTCGCTTAAAGTCGTCCATATCGCCATCAACAATCGGCACGCTTCGCCCCCCAATCCCAGCAAAGTTTCTAGATTATATGTGAGTAAAGGTAGACAAACCAAAGCATTGCTAAAGACATAGCCATACGCTGCGTAGTCAATCCGCCCAAATCGAGAAACCGCCCGGGAAATGGCATTCTGAACATCCGGCTCGTTGCTCACGTCAGCTCGTATAGTAAGGCACTAAATGGATGGATCTATTAGCTACTCGGAATTCTATGATTGCTTCATCTAGAAAAGATCTCGTGATCTTGCTCACCTCCACGCCTTGGCTCTCAACATTTTTGGCACCTTCGGCCAACACCTCTGGACTTTGGATATCAACTAGAACGACGCCCTTCGCGCCCGACTTTGCGAAAGAGACAGCTACAGCATTTCCCAATCCACGCGCTCCGCCCGTGATAAAAGCGATTCCTGGTACCAGGCGTTCGGCCAGCTATAATAGAGATCACTAAGATTAATATCAATGGATCAGCCTTTGAAGACTAGATGACGAACCATGTTAATCAAATAAATTTCACAGATTGATAAGTGTTTGTCTCAATCGGTACTTAGATATATATACGCAGGTATAAATTTAGTCTCTAATAGCTCTGTTATAATAACTGATGGTGGCTCCCCAAACGGATTTATCGGAACTCTATTTCACTTGTATTTTTACGAATAGATAAATGATAATTTAGTAAATATGAAATTCCGTGGTGAGCACAAGAAATGGAAAGATGAACTTGCTTTTTACCGTTCCGATCCCGGAAAGTCTTCGAACGGAATTATCTCGGAAGTGGGTATCTTGTGTAGGAAGTTATTAGGAAGCGCCAATATCGTAATTTAAGGCTCATTTAGTCGCACATCTTCTTAAACCCCCAAATTCGACTCCTACTAGGTTGAATCTTGCTATCGATACAATAACAGAACGTGACAAACAGACGCACAATATGTCCTCGTAAGCTCTTCTTGATAAACTTATTAATAAGATCAAGTCAAACTGACAAAGCGATTAGTGCGGGCGAGGAATGGATAGCTCTCACACAGGCCACTTCCATAGTCAGCGAATGTGATGTTGAGGCCGTCTTCCACCAACTTTCACCAGTATCGCCGGAGTCTCTTTTAGGGGAATGGCGAGGAGCTGATCTAAACACTGGTCATCCTGGAGTCGAGAAAAATAAAGAGCTCAAATGGGCCGGGAAGTCATTCGTATCGATTGATGATGTTAAGCCGATGATGGTGTACGGCGATGATGGAATGAGGGTCTGGCTAGAGGCGATCGGTAGTGCTCGTGTAAGTCTTGAAGATCAACCGAACCGCCTGACAGCTAATATTGTTATCCCTTTATTCAGCTTCGTGAAGTAAAATATCACAATATAGTCTCCACAGCTATGATTTACAACAATCAGCCCATTATCGATCATTTTCGAAAAGTAAATGATACCATGGTGGCAGGGGTTATGGACACTCCTCTATTCAAGGATGGTGGGCTTTACTACTTCTATTTAACTAAATTACCGCAAGATAGCTTGCTTTGAGCAGTGAAAATGAATATGAGAGCGCAATAGCTTCCTGCTACCAGAGTAATGAATGTCAATTCAGAACAGGTTTAGTCAGAATCATGCGGCCAATCACTTCCGGTAGTATAAAGATTGCCCAGTTGCCGTTTTGGTCAAATTTACGATGTACGGATGGCATTTGACCAGTACGGAGCACCCGAACTCGACTTACGACAACCGCAGCCATACAAACCTGAAATGTGTAATGTAGCTATGATTTGATACCCTATCCCACGGGGGGTGCTGAACTCTTGTAGAGTTCAGGTTAGGGCTTTGCCTTCACTATAGGACATAAAAAGTGGGTCCCGCAAGAGTTTAGGTTAATTTCTTCGCAAGGGTTCCGAGTTCAAATGAAATCCAATAGCTCTCAAATTTTGGTCAGTTATAATAGACCATCTCATTTATCTCCTATTCACTTCGGAGCATACACAGCCTACTAGTTATCGAGAAAATGGCGATTTCAAATTAGAGATGTTTTGTTGGGGTGTACCATTACGGTCTACGATTAGCACCTAAGACGCCACTACAGCACTCCAGGCGAATAGAACAACCTCGATAATACTAGCCCATAATGATCAGGAGGGGTAGCAATTAATTCAGGGGTTTAGACGCTCCCCGGCTATTATCTCACTTTGTTTTTAGACCATTTCACCCCAAAGTCAGCATTAGACATTCGTCAAATTTCACGCAATTCATTATTGTGTGATATATATCTACACCTTCATTATGCAAAGCCAATTCTTTGACCAATTCTATCCCACGGGGGGTGGAGGAGTCTGGCAGACTCCAGGTTAGGGCTTTTCCTTCACTATGGGAGGAAAAGTGGGTCGTACGCCAGACTCCAGGTTTTTTTTGTCGCCAGACTCCTAAGGTCTAATAAGGTCCGATCGACCCCAAATTTTGGCAAGTTATAATAGACTACGTTAAATATCCCCTATTTGCTTCGGAGTATATATCGCCTAGTAATTATCAAGAAAAGGGCGATTGAAAATTAGAGATATTTTGATGGGGTGCGGGAATTAGGCTAGTTAGGGTTGCGACCGGGGCCTTAGGCTAAACTCCAGGGTTTCGAACGAATTGGATCACCTCGATTATCTTAGTCTACAATGATCAGGGGGGGTAGCAATTAATTCAGGGGGTTTTGAAGCTCCCTAGCTATCATCTCACGCTTTTTAACACTATTTCACCCCAAAGTTAGCATTCGACATTCGTTATATTTCATGCAATTCATTATTGTACGATATATATATTGCACTAGTCAACCATAGTAAGCCAACTTTTTCACTAACCTTCGACTAACCTAGTTATCGTGTGTAAAACATATGAATACGTTATTCGACCAAAAGAGGTCTTCCGGCACCTCTAGTCAGCTAGTCATCGAATAGGGAAGCCGAAAGCGCGCCAAATTGCTAAAGCTATACAAACATCTAAGCGCGCGTAAGAATGCGACGAATAGCAGCCACCAACCGTGGTAGACGACCTAATCCCCTATTTACTAGTTTACTTAGATAGCATTTTATATAAAAAGGGTCAGTTCTACCAATTTATAGCGCGGTTAGTCGGAACGATACGTTACCATTAGCGCCAAAGTCATAGATAGAGCGCACCCGCGAACTATGGCGGCCGTCGGCGCCAGCAAGGTTTATCGGCGACTAAGTAGCAAATTCAGCAATTCACGCGAATTGTCCAATACTAGCGAGCATTCGGTTAGGGGCTAGGATCCCATTATATTCGCGTACGTACGCTTAGGGCGGAGGTTATTCCTAAGGCCAATTCGATGCTAGCG